CCTCACCGTGGCAGGCGCTGACAGCAAAGCCGATGCGCTTGCGGGCACGGTCGAAGACCACATAGAAGCCCTCCATGATCACAGCGCCCATGACGGTGCCCGTGGAGGACTGGGAGATGGCGAACTTGTAGCAGTCGTCCTGAGAGGTGGCCACGTCCTCCACGGGGCGCAGGTATTGCTGCAGGAAGAGAGATGCCAGCAGGAATGGGGCAGGCAGCTGTGCCCACCCAGCAGCGGTACTAGGCAGGGTCAGCGCTCACCTGGGGCAGGATGGTGATCCGGAAGGACTGGTTGGTGGCCTCCCCCATCAGGTAGAGGGACAGGACCGGGAAGATGTGCCAGGGGGTGGTGCCAACCTGCCAGCAAACCAGCTGCTCCCCCAGCCAGAAGCCATCCGGGAACTTCTCCGTCTGCAGAGGGAAGGGAGGTGAGCAGAGCACTGATGCTCAGGCTGCTGACAGGCAGCCACGCTGCCTGCAGCCCTGTGCTGGCGCAGGGATGTGCCCACAGGGGAGGGAGGGATGGGTTCCACTGACCGAAGAAGCCGTTTTGATGGACTTCACCGCAGCCTCAAACACCTTCTTTGGCAGCCTGAGGTTGGTGGTCCCACTGTCCACAATACTCTTGTCATAGTTGTACTGGGGGCAGAGGAGGAGGGCCCGAGATGCAGACCCCAGCCTTGCTCCCCTCCCAAAGCCCCTCAGCAGGAAGGTGGATGCTCCAGCAGCAGTGACAGAGCAGGCGCCCTGCTGTCCCCTCACCTCTTTGCAGTCCATGTTCAGGTCCTGCCCGTTGACCTCCAGCTTGACAATGATGACCTCGTAGTACCACTCCTTCCGGATGGGTGTGTACCAGATGTCACCCACGTACAGCGAGCGGTCGATGCCACCAATGATCTGCAGCAGGTATAGAAAGGGGATGCCATGGTGCCCTGTCAGCTCTGATGGGGCACACCCCATGTGGGCCTCCCTGGTGCTCCTGCAGCAGAGCACTCACCATGCTGCCTCCCACCGATGCCAGCGCCTCTGTCTCATTGGGGGAGAAGCCTGCGCCGCAAAGCTGGAGGGAGAAGATGTTGGGCACCCGGGTCTGCTTCACCAGGGAGTCAAAGAAGGGCTCGAGGCTGTCATCGGGCTGGTGCGAGGAGAAAGCAGAGGCAGGACAGGGATGTCAGTGCTATCCCTCCTCCAGGGGCTCTCCATGCCCAGGGCAACTCCCACTTCAGAGACCACCGTGCCCGCAGGGACCCCGGCTCTGTGTGCTGCTGGAGCTCAAGGTCACCAGCACAGCTGGAAGCTGGGCCCCTGGGACCGAGCAGAGCAGGGCTCACCCGGGCGATCTCGGCGTACGCCAGCCCCAGGATCCCTTCCCAGTTGGAGCCGTTGATGAAGAATTTGTCTGACTCGGTGATGGCAGCGATGTTGGCTCTGACGGTGACGTTGGGGCCGTGGGGAATGGTGACAAGGTCGGTGCCCAGCTCCCCTTCCCACTTGCCCTGGGTGTAGGGCACATACACACCCTTCCGCAGGTCGCGGTAGGTGCTGGACCTGCAATGGCATCAAAGAGCTGTGTGGACCCATGCTTCCAAGAAGGGACAGCGTGGGGCCAGGGCTGCATCCCTGTGCTCTCTGTGTTCCCCCCCAGCATACTCACAGCTGCCGCTGGTAGTATCTCCGGAGGAAGGGGTGAGGTGCAGCTCCGACAGCAAAGTTACTGCTCCCTGTGTCCACCAGGATGTTCAGCTGGAGAAGGAAGAGACACGGATGGTCAGAGTGCAGTGGGACCCTGCTGCACCATCCACCTGGCTCTGTCTGGCTCTGCAGGTGCGTGCTGCTTTCCCTAGTCCCATGGCAGGCACACGGTGGCTGTTGTACCATGTGCACGTGTGGGGCTGGAGGAAGCAGCAGCAAGATGGGGTCCCTGCATCCCCTTGCTGGGAAACCTGATTTGCTCCCAAAGCTGCTGGGAGGATTGATGGCCCAGCACTGCGCATCGCTGGCTCCGCTAATCAGCCACCCATATGCTGAGCTCTGCTCCTGGTTCCCTTCTGCCTGTGCCTGGGATTACCAGCTCAGGCAGGGGCTGGCACACATCCTGCCCCCAGCTGAACCCTGCCTGCAGCAACAGCACCACGGAGCTTCAGCCCTTAATCTGTGGAGCAGAGGGGAGAGGAGGAGGGTGATGAGCTCCTGCTCATCGCAGGAGCACTGGGCTATGGCTACTGGAGCCTCTTGCCCGGCGCACTGCAGCCCGGGTGGCTGCAGGCAGCATGTGCTGGGGGGGACAGGGACAGGTCCCCCAACCCCAGGCTGCTGTCTGGCCCAGGGGGACATTGCAGGCCACGGGTAAAGATCAGAGCTGCACGTTTGTCCCCTTGGGTGAGCACCAGGAGCTGCTGGGAGCCCACTGCGCATCCCCACCTTCCCATGGCAACGCAGCAACTCCAAGCCCGGCTGCTGCACTGGGACCATTCCCAGGGTGGCTCTGTTTGATCAGTGGGTAGGGGCCATCTGCTCCACACAGCTCATCCCTGCTGGTCCCTGGAGATGGGTTTCCCCTGCGGAGCTGATGCTGCCGGGAGAGGAGGATGCAGGTGGCAGGGAGGGACTTTGCTCTCATCGCAGAGAAGGTGAAAGGTGGGAGGGAGATGGAGCAGGGGGCACAGTGGGATGCCCAGACCGCATGTGTGCCTTTGAAAAGGATGCACACACCCCTATGGACAGACAGGCTCCCTGTTCTCCTGCATATGCACAGCCATTGCTCTCTTCTTTCGTGTGAATCTCTTGATTCCATGGCAGCGCCTGGAGGAATCCAGCTCAGCGCACACACGCGCGCCTGCACACGCACCACGTTCCCGTCTGGATGGAGGCCAAGGCTGGAAGATGCTGCCCAAAAGGGTGAGCGGATTGGGAGCGCCCTGGAAACAGGTGGTTCGCAGGGCAATTGTGTGGCAGCTGCGACACGTGGCAGGAGATGATGAAATCCCATTGGAAACGAGGTGTTAGGATTAATCTCCTCCCTTTCCCCCTCAACATCTCCAGGCACGCAGGGACACCATGAGACCCGATTCCTGCCTCCCTCCCCTGTCCATGGTTCACATCCCCCTCGTGTTGCTCTCTCCCACCATGTGCCGTGCTGGATGGAGCCGGCTCGAGGGGAGAAGCCAGCCTTTATCTCGGAGGCTGCGTGGGCTCTGCGTGCTCTGGCAGCGCCAGCCTTTGTGGCGGGTGGGAGGTGTGCGGGAACCAGCTCTATGCTGGAACGTGGACCCTGGAGCACAGGCCCGATATGCTGCAGGCAGCGGTAGGTGATGGTGAGTGCACAAAGGATTCGGCAGCAGGAATGGGGGTGAGCTCTCCCATAAAAGAGGGGAGGAGCTGGTCCAGGCAGCGCCTCGGCACCCATCCTGTCCCCAGCACATGGGCAGATGTTGCCACACACGAGAGCTCCTGGACACAAGGGATGCTGCTGAACGGATGGAGCAGAGCCTGGTGATGCACCGGCTCTGCCCTGCGGGCATCCCTGCCTCCCCACGCTGCCCATGGCCCTGCTGCAGCCACCACCTGCAGCAAGCCCCACAAACAGCAACCTCTGGCGCACCCCCGGCTCCGGAGGAGCCAGGCTTGGTGCTGGCACATGCCCGCAGCCGGGCGATGCTGGCAGGCGCAGGCAGCCCCGCCAGCCCCTCGCCGCCCACAGCCGTGCGGCAGCATCTTTCGGCTGGCGGCAGGGACGGATGCACGGATGCAGCCCGGCACGCACAGCACCGAGAGGCCCCGCAGCACACCCGGTTCCGAGGGTGACCTTCGGCTCCTCCCGTTGGCCCCGCTGCCGGTCACCCCCCCCCGCCCCGCGGCGGTCGTCCCTACCTTCTGCGGGGGGCTGCCCACCGTCATCTCCACGTAGTAGCCCTGCCCGGACTTGCCCCGCAGGTTGTCGATCATGTCCACGAAGCCGCCGCCGCTGCGCTCGGCCTCCTCCGGCGCCCGGCGCGCCCGGGGACCCGGCGGCGGGGCCGCGCCGCCCCGCAGCGGCAGCCGGATGCGCGGCGGGGCCGGGAGGGCGCCCGCCCCCAGCCACAGCAGCAGCCAGGGCCAGGCGGCAGCCATGGCCGCGGCCCGGACAGCCCTGCTCCCCGGGGGAACGGTGCCTATGGGGCCCGCAGCGCCCCGCGCCTCGGCCGGGCGGCCGCGCCGGGGCCGAGCGGGGCGGCGGGCATGGCGGCGCGGCGCTCCCCGCCCCGGAAAGCGCGGTCGCGCCCGTCCGCCCCCCTCCCGCCGGCGGAAGCGGTGGCTGCAGCGGCCCCGCCCGGCTCCCGCAGCCTCCCCGCAGCCCCCGGGCCCGGCTGCGGCCCGGTCCGGCCCGGGGGTACCGGCGGGGCCGGGGCGGGCCGCGGGTCGGGGCGATGCGTCGCCATGGCAACGGGCGGGGGGGGCCCGCCCCGGCCGCACTACAGCCCCCGGCAGGCGCCGCCGCATAATGACTTCACGCGTCCCTCCAGCCAGTCCGACGCCGGGCGGGCTGTGCGGACCAATGGCAGTTGGCCGGGGGCGGGCGTTAGCGGTTCCCGGGACCCGGATGTGACGGCGGCTCCAGGCAACCCGTGAGCGTCCGTGGAGGCGGTGGCGGCGTGGCCGGGCCGGGGCCCGGGGCTGGGCCGTGCGGGGTGAGCTGCGGGGCCGGGGGGAGCGGGTGACCGGGAACGGGGCCCGGGAACGGGGCCCGACCCCGCCTTGAGGGACGGCAACGGATCTGGAGCGAACCCCCGCATCCGGGAGCGTTGCTCGGGTCCGCTGGGGACGGGAGCGGCGCGGCGCTGCCTGGGCTCAGCGCGGCCCCGGGAGTTAAGCCCGGGATTAACCGTTCCTCCTGAGCCTCCCTTTACGTAAGGCTTTAAACCCGGCGCGGGCGGAGGTGGCTGCTCGGTGCCGGGCACGTGGGGCCCCTCCTGCAGCCGGAGCGCATCGCTATGCGGTAAAGATGCTCGGGCATCCCGGCCCCTGCTAGGACACCGCCGCAGCTGATGATCACTGTGATTCCTATGTCGCTTCCTTCATGCCGCCAGATGCAGAAAGCCATGGAAGAACCCATGGTGCGCATCGGTGACCAGATCATCCTGGAAGAAGATTACGATGACACCTATGTTCCCAGTGAGCAAGGTAACGGATCCTGCCCTCCCGGGAGCTGGGAGATGGGATTCGTGCGTGCAAGTCACTGCCAGTGTATTAAGAAAATAGGAACTGGGGAGAGCGTGAGGGTAGAATAGATGGGATTTTGTAGAAGACAGGGTGAACAATTAACTTTCTGGTTGTAAAGATAAATGCCATTTTGCAGTCTGCCTCCAGCCTGGCAGGGAACCATGGCACAGTGCGTCCACTGACACATGGGCCACTCTGGCAGCTCTGTTTCCCCTGGGTGCTGTGCTTTAGTTGGGGAAGTTGGCTTTCTTGCTTAGTGCCTGGTGCGGATCACCTCCACTGGTTCCTCTTCTGCTTTCCAGAAGTCCAGGATTATGCCCGGACGATCGGGATTGACCCCAAGAAGGAGCCGGAGCTGCTGTGGTTGGCCAGGGAAGGCATCGTGGCCCTGCTTCCTCCTGGGTGGAAGCCTTGGTGAGAGCTCTGTCAGTGGTGGGGGTCCTGCCCTTCCCTGCTCTGTGCTGCCCACATCAGTGGCAGTCTGATGGGAAGTTGGATGTGGATGTGGATGTGGATGTGAGCAATCTCTAAGAGAGCTCCTTCCTCACACCAATGTGTCTTTGGGCTCTTGGTGATTCAGTAAGGATGTGCTGGAACGTGCAGCTCTATCTGTATGTGCTCTTTCACCTTTTCATGGTGGTTTTGCCATGCAGCCAAGACATCACTGGTGAGATCTATTACTTCAACTTTGCTAATGGCCAATCCATGTGGGACCACCCGTGTGATGATCACTACAGAAAGCTTGTCATTCAGGAGCGAGAGAAGCTGCTGGCGTCTGGCAGCTTGAAAAAGAAAGAGAAGAAGAAGAAAGATAAGAAAGAGAAGAAGAGCAAGAAGGAGAAGCAGTCATTGAAGAAGCTTGCTGTGAGTAGACTCCACTTGCAGTGCTTCTGGGGAGGCTGGGCAGAGAGTTCTCATGATAAATGGATGCTTTTGGGAGAAGCAGAGGTGAGACTGCAGTCAGATTACCTGTTGTTGCTGTCATAGATGCTGTCTAGAAATGTCATTGTCTTCCTCTGGGAATAGCTGGATCATTTTGCTCTGTTCTGCCCAAACCGTTTGTCCATAAGTAATTGCCTCAGTTTAATAAGAAGTCACTGACTCTCGTGTTCTGAAGTAAGAAATGATCTGAAAGGTCAGTGTGTTTAATGTTAATGGATTGCTGTGCTGCTGGGGGTGCCCAGCTGCGGCTCCACCACGTCACAAACTCAGGTTTCCAGTTACCCGCATGTGGTGGTGCTCACTGATAAGAACTATGACTATAAATATCAGGTAAAGTGGAGATTACTCTGCAAGTTTTAATTAGCCCAATGGAAGCGGGTTTATCTTTGCTGAAGGACAGCTAACATCCTCTGCTCTGCATTAACTTGCGGTTAATGGCCATCTGCAGAAAATAATCAGTGTGATTTATTCTGCTACAGTGGAATGTGTGATTTATTCTGTTGCCATTGCTGTGGCAGGGACTTTGTGGAAGAAGGATTGGTGCACATTCATCTCCCTGCTCCTCAGCCTAAGAGTGATTTAGCTCTGCTTTCAGTCTGCAGCCTGGTGCAGACACAGCGCAGAGGAGCTGTGATGTCTGAATGTGCACGTGCTCTGCTGGAGCATGGGCTGGCGTACGTGCTACAGAGAAAACCCTGGCATATGTGTGCTGCGAGCTGAACCTGTGCAGGGTCATGGGGTGGGAACTCCATGGTCATGGTCACGTTTCGGGGGGGGATAACTTGATGTCAAACATGAGCTGCTGAGAGGGGAGGATGTTGGATGGCTCCTTGGGCTCTTGCTGCCTTTTGAAGGGGAGAGATGTATTTAGCAGCTTCTTGTGGATGTGCTGCAGCAGAGTGCTTTGTGCTGTCTGTAACTTTTCCACTGGTGTAAGGTGAGGAAGCAGCCTGGATCTCTGTCTAAAACGAGGTGGTAATTGCAGCTTGGGGAGAGTCGGAGGCTTCTTGCCATCAGAATGGTTTCTCCTGCACTCATTTCGTGCTGTGCAGAGCAGCAGAGCAGAAGGGGAGCTGCCCAGTTTGCCTTGGGTGCATGGCACTGGCTAAGAGCCCTCCCAGAGGGTGCTGTGTGTGGGTACGTGTGAACTGGTGTGGTGGCTGTTGTTCTCGCTTTGGTTTGGAGTGATGGCCATTGATTTTCTGGATTGCCTTGCTGCTGTAAGGTAAATCACTGTATTCAGATGGGCCTTTGGAAGACAAAATGTGTGAGTAAATCAGAGTGTGTATCGTGCTGGGCATTGCTGGGCGTTGGGTCTCACAGGCAGCTCTCAGTGGTGGTGGGTCTCGTTTGGGCTTGGTCCTGTCTGTTGTGAGGAGCCATGTCCCGTGCTGTGTCAGTGAGCTCTGTGCACATTCCAGCCCGCAGGCATGCTGCTGGCACCCGTGCAGGTGCCCCCGGGGGGCCTGGCCCCGCTGCGTGGGGTCCCAGCACCCCTGCTCCCCAGCCTGCGCCCCAGCCCGCTCCCCCTGCAGCTTGGCAGCCCCGCGCCCGCCGGCCTCGTCACCAGAGCAGGGACACAGGTAAGGTCCTGGCTCTGGGAATGCGCTGCAGAGCATCTCGGGATGGGGACACTGAGAAGCATTTGTGATGTCTGTTAAACCCCACTTCCCTGCTGTCCCTCACCAGTGGTAACTGTTCTCTTGCTGTTTCTAGGGAGCCCAGTACTAAATCTGTGCTGAGCTTGCTTCTGCTGTGATTGGCAGATTTAAAGAAAGAACTGTTTCAGTTACTGTTGGCGGGAGAAGTCTGTTAAGTTCATCTGAGTAGAACACTGATTTGTGTGATATGCATTACGGATAACGTAATGTGGTAAATCATATTGTCCCTCAACTATTCGCTAAGAATAAAAAGTGAAAAGCAGAGTTTTCTGGAGGAATGCAAGGTTTCCAAGCGGGTCAGTCTTTTGAAAGGAAACAAAACCAGTGTAGTGCCAAACATACAGATCAGCACCTTCACTGAAGGTTTTAGTCTGGCTAAGCCTTATCACTGGTGATTTCAAGGATTTTGCTTTTATTATGGGCTGAGCAGGACTGAACCAGTGTTTTGAGGCACAGGCAGGTTTTGCAGCTGTCATCCTAGAGGACAGGACCCTCTGATCTAAGGGACAGCATGGCCTCATAAGGAATATATGCTCTCCCAACTGGCCATGGCTCTAGCAGAACAAGGGTAGCAGCACAATCTTGAGCACCTTCTTGGAATTCAGCAGCTCCCCTGCTGCTGGCCAGTGTCTCAGTGGGTTTGTGTCCGCCCTTTCCCTTGGCTGTCCTCTCACCTCCCTTCTCTTTGGCCCCACAGCCTGCAGAGACCTGTAAGGCTGCCAACCAGATGAAGAAGTTGCTGGACTTGGTCTGCGAAGAGGAGAGTTCCTTCAACCCAGGGGCTGTAGATAAAAGGAGAAGTGAAGAGGAAGGAAGTGAAAATGAGGTGGGTTGTGCCTTGGTTCTTAATGTGAGTCAGTAACTGTAGTGCAGGAGACCTCAGAGAATGAAAAACTGATGCTCTGGTGGTTGACCGTAGCTGTTCCATTTGACTCAGGGCCTTAGTTTGTGCTGTGCTTCCTCTGCGTTGTTGGGTCACCAAAAAGCATCTAATCCTTTTCTGTCATGGTGCTCCCTGTAAGTCACCGTCTGCCATGAGGTAATTCCAAAAGGAAGGGGCTGTAGGTGTGTTGCCTGGGAGCAGTGCTATAGCTTTACTGTCTTGAGGCTTAGGAACCCGCAGTTCCTGTGTGCTGGTGGGGTTGCAGGGGTCAGAACTCAGTTTTGACCATCCCTCTTTTGCTTTTCCATACTTTAGAGCTCCTATGAGACACGAGGACTGTTCAAAAACCTGCATGTGGATGTCAGTGCCCTGGGAGGCAGCTTTGACTCTGAGGTAAGCCATTTGTGAGCAGGACCAACCCGGAGCAGGCTGATGGAGGCACAGCAGCAGGGTTGGGGAGTGTATGAGAAACCAGATGTGGTCTGCAGGGGACAGGGGGTTGTGTGTTGGGTGCAAATTTGTGCTTGAAGGAGAATGCTTGTGGTTGGTGGGTGGGATTTGAGGAGATGGCATCTTTGCCCATGTTGGAGCTTCGTTTAGTTCTAAAGCAGAGAAATCTGAAGTGATGTAGGTGTGACAAGCAAGCTGGAGAAGGGCTCTTCAGCAGCAGAAAGGTGAGAGCCTCGGAGCAGAGGTGCCACTGTGCTTGCTGTAGGAGGAAGGCTTGTTGAGGAAGGTTTGCTTCTGCGCTGCTTGTTTCAGTGAGTGTAGAAAGAAGTCTTGTTCTCCGCTGAAGTGGCAGTGGTGGCACTGGGGAGAGCAGAGGGGAATGTGCTCTGGAAATGCCTTTCTCACACTTAGTTCCACAGGAATCTTAAACCTTCCATGTGGATTGCGTGTGGTCACCCGAAAGCTGTTTTCTTCCTTCTTGCACTGCTGACATTCTGTGGCTGGGGCAGTGTCAGCAGCGACTTGAGGACACTTGTGGGCTCGTGCAGACATTGCCTTTCCATGCCTCTCAGCAGTGATGAGGCTTAAGGTGACAAGGGCACAATGGGAAGTGCGTGGCAAGCAGCTCCGGTGATGCAGCCCGACGGTGCTGACATTAATCCTGTCTCACTGCTTTGAAATCTCTTCCACTGTCTGAAAGGCAAATTAATTTCTCTTAAAGTGTTTTACAGCATTTGCCTTATCCTGTTCACTGCACACAGGAACTAAGCTGTCAGGGGCTTTGGTAGTGAGTCCATTCACAGTGCTGGGTGGAACTGCAATGGCTTACGCTAAAGTAGGGAGAAAGAAAGGGCTGACTCCCTGGTCTCCAAACAAGCAGCAGCCTTTTAGGGTCCAGTTCATCACTGGAATGTTAACGTGTCCAGAACAGAGCTGTCGGCATTTCAGTGCGGAGCTTCAGGAATCTATTGTGAAATGGCAGCTGCTGCCCAACAGCCAGGCTCGGTTAACCCAGACGGGGGTATCTTAGTCCTGATATTAGAATTGCCCTGGAAAAGGTAATTCTGGTGTGCTTCCATGAGATGGCAGTAGAAAAGCATTCCTATGAGTGAGCCTAAGCCTGGTTCTCCAGCTCCTTTGCAAAACGGGAGGAAAGGATTTGTAGTATGAACCTTAAGGGGGGAAATCTAAGGTGTAATGGGGTGAAGAGAGAAAAGCCTCGTGGCTTCGTGTAGCCTGTGCATCAAGGTCGAATACCTGTATCCAGAGAAAAGCAGCATGAGGGTTTAGTGACTTGCTGAAACACAAGGATGCTGAGGGAGAGAGGAGGCTGCATTGAAGGTGGAATGAGCGTCTGGAGAGAGGGAAGAGAGGTGGAAAGGAATGCTGCCTCCCTCTGTGGGCTTTTCTGGAGCAAGGAGGGAGTTAGCTGGGAAAGAGGCAGTGAAAATGAAATCCAAGTCAGGTGCTGGGGACCTCGAGGTGTGAGGTTTATGTGTCCTTAGAATGTACTCTTGGTGAGAGGGCCTCATGTAGGAAGCTTGGTTGGCTTGGCTTAGCTCTTGCCCAAACCCAGCTTCTTGTCTCCTGAATTCCTGAGCTGGAATAGTCACTGCAGACACATGAGACTCTGAGCCCTAACATACAGAAGGGCTTTGGGATACTGCTGGATGGGGCAAGAGGAGGGGAAGGTCTGGAAGCATCTCTGGTGCCTGGGGACGTGGTCGTGCAGCAGCAGAAGTGATCCCCTGCTGGCACGCTTGCAGCCTGGGAGGTTTAGTGCTCTGCCTCCTGTCCAGGTCAGTCTCTGGGTAAACGCTGGGGGTCAGGGGTCCTTTGTGTGGTGGGGAGTTGCCACACGAGGCTGCTCTGTCAGATGGAGATGTGTGAACAGGAGCTGTCTGTAAATAAACACCGTGCAATAGAGCTTGTGTGGTACTGCCGGGACGCAGGGAGCAGAGCTGCTGCTTCCTGGGAAACAAAGACATCCATGAAACACCAGTGCAGGGATGGCAGTGGAAGGGGAGGATGGCTCCTGTGTCCACACCACAGCCTTGCTCTCCCTGTGCTGGGGGAGCGTGCCTGAGAGCTGCTGTAGTGAGCCACAGCAAAGCACACAGACAGAAAGGGTTTTGTTGGGGAATGTGGGCCTGGGAGCTGCTGAGCTCCTGTGAACTCCTTTCCCAAGCTGGAAAGCTGCTGAGCTGGAGGGCAGATGCAGTGTGAGACCCAGGGCTGTGACCTGGCACATCTGGATGACCGGAGCAGCTTGGAAAGGAGCTGTGAAGACTTTTGCTAGTGGATGCGTTACCTCACCCACTAGGAGAAGAGCAAAGCAGAGGAGCAATACTGTGGCAGTTGGGTAGCTGATGCTGCTGATGCTGCTGATGCTGACCTCCAGCACCGAAGGAGCCCTGCAGAAGAATCTGGCAGCCTGAGGGAGGTGATGAGTGGCTCTGATATCATGGCTCTGTTCTCATGATGTCACTGAAGCTGTGCATGCAGTAGGCAGCTTTGAGTGTTGTGGTGTGTGCCTGATAGCTGCTTGCCTTGTTTCTTTTGCTGGGTATTGCATTACATGCATGAAGAGAGGTGTAAACTTAAAACCGCAGGGCAAATGCTACCCGGATGAGGTCTGTCGAACCTAACCCCCTGTGGACTTCATCTCTTTGAGATGAGCAGGGCTCAGTTTTGGGGGCCGCTGTTCATCCTGATGATTCATTTCTGGATCAGATGCCTTTCCCAAAGCTGGTCCCGCTGGTATTGATGTGCTTTTCTCCAGGCTTGTGCTGATCACTGGAAGTCTGGACATAAGGATTTGACGGGCAGAAATTTCACATCAGTTAGCGTCACTCAGCTGCGGGGAAAATGTGTTACAGCTTGTGAAAAGATCAGCGAAAGCCAATTATATCCTGACTGACTTGTCCCAGCTCTGAAATCCATGGAAAATCCATAGCCTGTTTGTGCACAGGGAAAACCTCCCTCCTCCTCCACCTGCGTGTCGGATTGGCAGAGCTCTTCCAGAGAGTTGCATTTGTGATCATTGAGGTGTAATGCTGACAAAAGCTTTGTCTGTATCTGTGCTTAAAGCAGGATTCTGCCAGCTAAAGAGATTATGCTGGGATGTTTTAGTAACTGAGGTAAACTTGCCTGGAGAGAAGCCTTTGTGTGCACGGTGTTACTGGAGTCATTGGTGTATTCTGTTGTGGCGTTGTGCTCCTCAAAGGGAAGTGTCTCTGTACTGTTTTACATGTACATCTGTGTACATAAACCTCGCTGCTCTCATCAGGCGTACCTTTCCTTGGGTGCTGTCAGATGTCCTGGAGACAGGGCTCAAGGAGAACTCTAAAGCAAGCCTGTCCCAAAGGGAGCACGACTTTCCAGGTGCCCTCCACCCCAGCTAAAAGTGAGGACTGCTTCAGTGTTACTGCCGTGGGGCAGTGCCTTTTGCACAAGCCTGTCTGGGTTCAGGACTTCAGGTGCTATGAAGCCTTTGTGGCTGGCTGGTGGTTCAGTGGTGCGTGTTCAAACCTCTGCTGAGCAGGCACCACACTGGAAAGGGGCCATAGACTTTGGTTTGAATCACAGGTGGGGCTCTGGGCTGCACCTCTTTGGGTAGCTGGTGATGAGGTTTCTCTGTTGTCCTGATGGATGCTGATGGATGCTGCTCTCAGCCCTGGGAAGGTCCCACAGACCAGCACTGGGCTGGGAGAGGCGCTGTCAGTGCGCTGCAGCGCCGGCTTTCAAGCTGACAGCATTCCAGTTGCACTCTGATAAAAATACATCGTTAAAATATGCGGTCTGTGTGTGGTACATGCTGTACACAGGATGCAGCTAATGTTTGACAAGACACCACAGCATTAATAAAACAGTGAGAAAGTGGGACGTGCTAGCAGTTTTGTTCGCATGCTGATGAGGGAACCTTTTCCTGCTTCCTCCTGGCTGTCGTGCTTGTTCTCGTGAGCTGTGTGGCCTCCCCACTGCTGGAGAGGCACCTGGAGCTCAGGGTGACTAAGCTTTAGTGCGGGATTGTGTTCTCCTTGAGTGTGCTGTGTCAGTCACAGCCCTCTTCTGAGCTCAGAGCGTGAACTGGTGCCTGCCCTCCGGTTTGTCCCACTGGGAGGTGGGATGCTTCCAGCTTGTCTGCTCCTCTCTGCTTGATTTCAGGCAGAAGCTACGTGTCCAGTACCAGCCTCTTGTAAATTTCCATCTCTCACGGAACAGATGAAAGGTGGAAGCAGAAATGGGTCTCCTGCAGAGCATGCAGGGTGCTCCCAGGGGCTGACGGGCCTAGGGCAACCACAGCTACCTTTTATGACCTGAGCCCCTGTGGATAGATATCCGCGACAGATTAACAAACCAGAACCAAAACCCAAACAGCTCTGAGCCCAGCAAATGAGTGTGTTTATCCCAATGGAGTTCCTTGTCTTTGAAAGGGACTTTGTAAAAAGAAATCAAACTGGTCTGGAAGTCACCCAAAGCTCTGTGACTTTGCTGTAGCAGAACCCATGCTCTTTCTGACTGCTGCATCCTCCCAGAGAGCGGGTAAAGGATGTTGTAGCTGTAATTGTGTTTGACTTGCTGCCTAGAAGGAGTCTGTAAAATCCAGACATGCTGAAGAAGGGCAAGAGTTTTCCTTGGATTCCGATGCTGCGTGCCCTCCGACTCCCATTGAAGTCGTTCTTGGCGATGCTGACAGCAGCCTGTCTGACCACGACAAGGACGAGTCTGGTGGGAAACACACTGGGAATGACCTACTGGGCAAGCCTGATCCTGAGGTGGAATGTGACATCTCTGCTGCTGCTGAGCTGCTGCAGTCCCTGCAGAAAAGGAGAGCAGCAGGGGTAGATACTCCCAGTGGTCCTGGGCCACCTCGAGCTGCATGTCCAGCTGCTGAACCTGCTGAGGAAGATCAGGTAAACCTGGCTTCTCCCATTGGTCCCCTGTCTGTTGGTGAAGAGATGGTGAATGAAATGAGGGAAGAAGCAGCAACTGATCTGGAAACAGATGGCAAGCTGGATCCTGGCGAAGTAAGAGACCTCCCTGCGTGGTTGGGTTTGGTGTGGAAGCTGCCGTGCCTGTTCCTGTTGCCTTGTAAGGCCCTGCTTCAGCGAAGCTCTTGGAGCACTTAGGTGTCTTCTGTGAAGGCAGCGTAAGCGCTTTGCTAGTCAGCAGGGTGTTCCTGGGGGGGGCACAAGTGCTCTGAATTCCCAGATCAGCATCTTTAGCACTGAGCTGGGAAATGGTTCTGTTCTGCGTGCACAAAGTGCTGTCCAAAGCAACCGACAGGCAGAAACCCTGGACTGAGACACAGGTTTTGAGTCTTGGAGGAGAAATAAGTCTCAGCTTTCAGTGCTGCCATCTGTACTAAGCAAGCAGGTTTATAATGAAGTTCACACCAAGCCCAGCTGTCCGTGCTGCTTTGTTTCTCTCCTTCTGTTGTTTCTCTCAGCTTATGCAGAGATGGGACAAAAGTGTAAAGTGAGCTGCCAGCCGTGATACTCGCAGCTTCGGAGGGATGCGATGGGAGGTGTGGGTCAGAGTGGGAAGGACGGTACCTGGGGGCTGGCTTGGAGCTGCAGCTCTCCTCTGTGAGCACGGTGCCTCCCTGCCTGCAGCTCTCCTAGGAGGAGGAGAAGCAGCTAGAACCGGGGTAGCTGATTGTGCCATCTCTGGCACCATCGAGCGTCACAAGGTGCAGATGGGTTCCTGGCCTGGCCCCTGCAACTGGGGTGCCAGACACACACATGCTCTGGTTCAGTGTCTTCCAGAAATGCTAGAATATGAGAGCTGATAAACTCCTTCCTTCCAGTCTAGCTTTGTTCCTGCTGATTTTGAGGATTTTTCTAGTTCCATTGCTGTGTAGCATCCTTAAGAGATGCTAAGGGGTAAAACAGCCTGGAAAACACGTTCTGTCCCAAAGAGCTGGAATTTGAAAGCTTTGCTTTTACACTCACCTGCCCACTTGCTTTACACATCTGGGTAGATCTGCTGAAGTCAGCAGGGTTCTGCGTGTGTTCACGCTGAACAGAGGAGCCCTTGCTGCAGTTAGGCATGCCAAGGTGTACCTTTAAAGACCTTTTAAGACCATGGTACTGTTCTGTGTGGCTTTACCCGTTTATGTGGTGGGCTGGGGAGCTCTCGGAGCTAGAGAGATCTGTGCAGAAGGAGCAAAGCACAGGAAGCAAGTGCCTTTTGTCAGGGGTATTTGAGGAGCACTTCTTTGCCCTCCCCAGTCCCCTCTCCTGCCCCTGTCTCCCTGTGATGCTTTGTGTTTGTCTCGTGGGTCACTGTGCTATGGAGGGGCCAGATTTGTCTTCCCACATCGGTTGTCACCTTGTTGGGAATGCCGGCGTGAGGCTGCAGGGGTAGGATGTGCACAGGCTCTAACACAGGTTTCCTCTTGGCTTTCAAAGGCATCAGAGGCCAGCAACTGTGTGGAGGACTTGCAAGTCTCTAACTGCTTGGACCGTGAGGTGATTTGGCCTGTGGTGAGTCACTAAAAGCTCCTTGTCCCTGGGGTGGGACACAGTGCCACGGGTGCCTGCAGGACTGGGGTGGCCATCTCCTGTGTCCTGTAACCTGTGCTATTGGTTTCAATAGCTGTGTTTCAAGCTGTGTGAGGATTTGGGTCCAGTCTCGGGGTCTCTGGCCAAACCTGTGTGTGCTCATCGGCCACTGACCCTTTCCTCCTTTCTGCTTTAGGGCATCAAGAACTGGCTTTCTGAGCAGGTAGCAGATGTGGAGGATCTGTCTGCTGCTGTGGACAACCCCATGTGCAAGGTCAGTTCTCTATGTGTGATCAGGGACCAGTCTGGATCAAACACTGTATTGTGGTGCAGCAGTAACAGGATGATGCTGTTGGTATAGGGGCTTCGCAGAGGCGAACACAAGTGATGTGCTTTAGCGTCAGGGGTTACAGCAGCACTACCTGAGCATTGGTTTGTCTGCAGAGATGAGATGTAGGTATCTACACAAGGAACAAACTTTGAGTGCAGGTGGCTTGTGAGGGCTGCAGCATGTAATCTCAAACGTGAGCTTCCCTGCCCCAGGAGGTCAATGGCTTTCCAAGGGAATGGTGGGAAGCTGAGTCTCTTTCCTTTTGTGGGTATATTTGTCCCTTTCTTTCCCTTAAGCAGATGGGAAGGATTTGTGTACCAGAACACAAGTGCGAAGATGGGAGGAAAAGGAGGCTGGCTCCCTCTGACAGATTTTGGTCCAGGGAAGCTTATTTTTAAGCATTTGGTTGTCTTGCCTGCTTTCATGTAAGGGGAGAAAGAGGCTCCTTTCAGTGAGTCTGTGGCACAGGAAGGAGTGTACATGTGCTTGCACATCTGTGTTTCCTATACTGTGTTAGCCCAGGCTGCAGCTCGGACCAGGCAGCTCTGCCTGAACAAGTGCTGTGCATCTGGAGGTTTTCTCCTTGTCTTCTCAGCACGCGATGGAGCTGATTGCTCAGCCCCACGCTGCAGCTACCCTGTCCTGCACCACCTCGGTGGGCACATCCGTGTGTGCTGGCTCCAGCTGCGGCTCCTCAGCCTTGCTCTGACTGTGAGCTGATGGGCTACGCTGGAGGAGCCCTGTGTGGCAACCTCTCACCTGCCCGGCAGAGAGGAGCAGTGCGGGTTGTGAGGATGTCTGGAGATCACACCTGTCCTCTTGTGCCTAATAATGAGCATAATCAGATGTGAAGGGAAAACAAACCATGCGCCTGCTGTGTTCCCCCTTCCCTCCTGCTGCAGCACGGGCACAGTGCATACAAATGTCAGGTTGGAGCAGCCACGTCTGGAGCTCATTACAGCCCTGTCTGGAGCAGAGAGGTGGGCTTAAAACACCGCTGCACAGCAGCTGCGCAAGCAGTGTTGGAGGGTTTTGGTTGGGCTCCTTTGGCAGGAGCTGTGGTAGCTTGCAGGGCCTGTGTGCTGCTTCCTGCTAGACCTGGCCCTGCTGCTGGCAGTGGGGAATCTGCTCCTTTCACCCTCCACTTAACAGGCATTTAAAGTGCTGGCATCCTGTTTGCTGGCCCTGCTGCTGCACAGGGGGTGATGGTGGTGAGGAGATGGAGGCAGGCATGCAATGTAAACTGGTGTGTACTGGAGACAGTGAGATCCTCTTGCTGAGGTCCTGTGGGATCTGTGCTGTGTGGAGGGAGGAGACAGGGAGGTGGGATGACAGATAACAGACTGTGTCCAGGAGACTGGCTTTGTGTCAGGAGTGTGGGACAGGGCAGAAAACAGAGCTGTGTCCAGCGCTGGGACTGCTGGGGTCCTGAGGGTTAAAATCAGCCCTTGTTCCCTGCAGGCAGGCGTTGTTCTCACCTTCTCCACGTGTCCATAGATTCCTGCAGCCCGTGATTTCCATGGCAGGACTGCCCTCCTTGGCAAGGCCGGTGGGGCAGGGGTGCAGCTGTGGCTGCGGGCGTGGGCTCAGCAGCGTTACCCTGGTTATCCCTGTTCCCAGTGAGGTCTCATTCCCCATCCATCTCTCCTTTCCCCTCCGCAGGCAGCGGTGACAGAGCCCATTTTGAGGCAGGAAACATTTGCTGAGCCGCTCGGTTCGCGGGAATTGCAGTCATTACTTACAGCGGGGCAGGAGGGAGGCGGGGGGGGCTGCCTCGGGAGCGGCGGCCGGGCTGATGGGATGGAAGGTGACAGCACTCGCAGGGAATCCTTCTGCTGTTTGCTCTGCCGAGCACGTGCATAGGTTGCCGCTGCTTTGATTCCGTGTTGGGTTAGCCCTGCCCCGCAGCACGCTCCCTCCTGTGCCTCCGCTCCCCAGGAGCTTGGCGATGGGACCAGGAACCTCAGCAGAGGATGGGGCCTCGCTGCTTCCTCTTGTGGGGCTGACAGCTTCAAGAGGGGAGCTCTTCCCTCCCCAGGTAGACAGCGCGGTGCCCTCTGTGTGTGCCTGCTGTGGGGACAGGCAGGTGGGAGAGGGAGCAGCTGACTACTCCATATTCAAATATTTGCTGTTCGTGTGTCAGGTATTTACTGTGTCATAAATCAGCCGCTTCAGCACCAAAACCACTCTGCTCTGGAGCAAGGAGTCTGGAATCCCTGGGTAGGTGAGACCCTGAGGATACTGCCCATCCCCATCTGCCCGAGAGCTGGGTTGTGAGGCAGGGCTGAGTGCTGGTGTGATTTTGGGCACAGCCCATACATCAGTTTGCTTTATGGCCACAGCACGTTATTTTACTTCTCTGTGTGTGACATTCCTCATTTAGGAGATTTTTGTCCAACACTTTCTGGGGAGTTAGTTTTTGGTGAGAGGACCTTCAGGAAAACCAAACCTGCATCCAAACTGCTTGGTGCTGGCAGGGAGTTCATCTTCTGTGCTGGAAAAACAGCCCCCAGACCCTAACTTGAGACACCCTGGGGAGCTGAGCTCCCAGGCCTGTTGGTTGTGCTGCTGGAAGCATTCCTGCAAGGCATTCCTGTGATGCTTTGAGACCCTTGGTTACCTACAGGAGAGGAGGCTGGCATGTTCAGCTGGGATTCTGGATGCTCTTTGGTCCCCGGGCTCACTGCTGATGCACCAGACCAGAGGGTGCTGCCCTTCAGCAGGACCACTGTGAGGTCCTGCGAGGCTTGGATGGGGAAGGAGCCAGCAAACTCCACACTTTGCTTTTACCTGCAGGCCCAGGAGCTGGGAGAAGAGGAAAAAGACCAAAGCAAAGCAAGTATAGAGGAAGAGCAAAGCAAAAGAACAAAAGCTGCCGAGAGGTATGGTACAAACAGAGCCACAAAGGAGGTGTGGACAGCCCCGGCTCTGGATGACTTTCCTGTCATGTCCCCCCTGCTCTGCTCTGGTCACAGACGTCCCCTGTAGAACACCCCGAGACGCTGCTTTCTCACTAAGCCTCTCTCTTCTCCTTCCACCTTCTTAGTACTGTCTCAGCAGACTTCAGCTTTGTTTCAGCTTCCTGGTAGCTTCTGGCTCTCATTTCCTTGTGGCTGCCCCAGATGCGGAGGTGCCCTCTGCTTCCCTCACAGCTCTGACTTCTCTCTAAGGCTGTGAACATCACGCTTGTGCCAGGATGGTCTGAACCTGGGCTCTCTCGAGCCCTCTCCCTCCCTCTGAGAGCTGCAGCCTGTGGCATTTATAGATGAATCGTGTCAAACCTCTTAGCCTCTGCACAGTTACGTGTACTCTGGGGCACTGGGAACAAGAAGCTGTTGCTGTGCCAGGAGCACTTGTGAACAGAAGAAGCTGCAGTCCATCTTAATGACTGCCTGCGTGCAGTTGGGATTTGCAGCCTTGTTCTTAGAGGAGCTGTTCATGTGAAGGTCCCCCAGAATGTGCCTGCAGGAATTGCCTCCTTATCACTTGGTACCTGCTTCCCAGCTGTGCATCCTCTCCTCCTCTCTGCCTGTAAAGCTGGCTCCTGCTTGCTTTGTCTCTCTTCTCTGTACCTCCAAGGTGAAGTAGGGTTGTAGATGTAAACGTGCCTGCCAGTATTCCCATCTGTAATTTGGACAACAGTGTGAGCGTTGCTAATAGGGCTGACTTAGCCTGGGGAGATTCTGTGAGGACCTGGAAAGAGAGGGGGGTAATCCAGGGATTAATTCAGCATTTTGAGCCTGGCACCCATGCAATCCTCAGCTGCCTGTTAGCCTGAATGGCTGGGAGCTTTGCTGTGCCTCTGGCCGACCCGTGTTGCAGCAATGGGTCCCGCTGGCAGGCACTGCTACCTGCAGCAGCCCCAGACTGATCTGTGCTAACCCAGTCTTGTGTTCCCTCTTTTGTGCTGCAAAGCGAGAGGGATCAGAGTCCTTGTGAGGCACCGCAGGAGAAGAGGTTTGCTTTAGAGACCCCTGATGTGGAGGAGGCCGTGGCAGCGGAGTCAGAGGAGGGCTCGCTGGATATCCCAGGCAGTCTGGAGGAGCTTGCTGCCCCACAAGAAGCGTAAGGGCTTTGTTTAAGTCCCTGGTGTTGTAAACACAACAGCGTTTGTCTCTTTGTTCCCCTTTGTGGTGGTAGAAGCTGGGGTGTGCAGTCGCTGCGCCAGGAGATGCAGTTTGGTGCGCACAGCAGTGCTCCAGCATCTCCATATGCAAATCCAAGCAGCTGTTTCACCGAGTGCCAAGTGAACAGCCTGTCCTGGGGAGGGGAGGGCAGCAGCTCGGCCCTTGGGCTCTGTGGCACAGGAGCCATGGGCTGGAGGGAAGTTGCTTTGTGCTTGGAGGAGCCTCCTCCTCTTTGCCAGCATCGCTAATGAAGCTGGGAGCGTTCACCCTGCTTTGGGAGACGCTTTCACACAGACGGGGGGAACAACAGAACCCAATCACCCCAGTTTTCCAGTCGCTGGAGCACTGGTTGCTTTGGGATATAATAAGCTCAGAGCACAGGATGCAGAGCTCAGGTTCCTTGCTAAAGCCAGTGCTCTGTTGCTGCACTAAATAGCTGCTCTTTGCAGATCTGTCCCCCCGGTTCCTCTGCCGTAGCAGAGCTCGGTAGAAGTGGTGGTGCTGACTTTGCTTTCTGTGCCAAGTGACAGACCAGCAGGTGCAATGGGGGAAAGCAGGGTGCCTCCCAGGGCTGAGTGCTGGAGAAGGGATCTGTGCTGTGGGCACCAGCACAGGATCTCCCTTTCCCCCCGGGAATCGTGTTGAGCTGTGTAAATGTGTGCGTTGGACGGATCTCCCTTTAAGCGAGAACTGGGGCAGAAGGAAGAACGTGCTAAAAGGTGGAAGTGGCAGCACAGGAGATGAACACCACCTTCTGCAGGCTCCTCTGCAGCAGGCCCAGAGCAGGCAGCATTCCATGGAAGCAATAATGAAGTGGGTTTTTTCCAGAACACAACCGCTCCTTCCTGTCCTGTTCTTTTTGCTAATGGCTGCATAAGTGACCTTTTCTCTTCTGACTCAAGCCTGTATTGCTGGGGCTGCTATTTCCTTGATTGCTGGCAAAACAGAAGTCCCTCTGCCTTATGCTAGGACAGAGCACGATGAGACCTTTCTGCTCCAGCTTTCACTAGCAAAGAATGAGTTTTTTCTTAGCTCAACCTTCATTTGCCCCTCTTTCCCCTTCAGCCTCTCTCAGACCTTATGATTTTACTGCTCTCTGTCTGAAAAAAGCTTAATTAGAAGCAGATTGGGTTTGAATTTGTTGAGTGCTTCGGGCTTTCTGTTGCCTGGAGCTGCCAGGCTCCCAGCACACTTCAGACTGCGATGGCAGGGAAGTACGTGGTCCAGCAGCACCACGCTGCTAGTCCCTGGGCTGCACACAGGTACTGCCTGCATCTGCTGTAGTGCCTGGCTTTCAGGGCTACTAGAGCCTTCCTGTTCCCCTTGCAAGGTAATCTCTAGTGGGACAAAACAGGAGTTATCAGGACCTGAGTGCTGCTGAGGTTGTCAGTCAGAGTTCCTCTGGGAGTCAGCCCATGGGGGCATCCCCACACTGGTACTGGAGGTAATGCACTGCTCAGCCTGGAGCATGTGCTCCAGGAGGAGAGCTTGTGTGTACCCACCTTGTGTCCTGCCTCTCTGCCTGCCTGTGCTGCTGGTCCTCAGCTCCCGTGAGCTAACCAGCAAGGGATGTGGTCCATTGGGATTCTCTCCTCCTTTCCCTTGGACAGTGATGTTTCTAGAGGAGGTGGCTCTGGGATTCTTGGTTTGGGGGAATGTTGCTGTTCCGTGATGTGACTCAGTTTTCCATCACACTTTTGCCAAAGGAACCTTCTCTTTTTGATAGGCAACCTGAGGAGCAACCTGAACACGAGCAGTCCTTGAACCAGCCTAGTGAAGAGTCCCTGGAGGGAGCAGCCGATGAGCTGGAGCACAGGCAAGAGATAACACACTTATTGCAAGCACAGGAGGAGAAAAGTCAGCAGTTCCAGGAGGAGATGAGGCAGCCGGAGGAGGAGGAGGAAGCTGAGAAGCTTCGTCAGCAAAAAGAAAAATCCCTCAGGTACTTCCTTCTGTTACTCCATCTCCCTCCTGTTCCTGCTCTGAGCTGTGATTTCATTGCTGGGGGCCACAGGCTTGGGCTGCTATAGGCCATCACCTTGGAGGTGGTGCTGTTTTGCAGAGCTATTGACAAAGGAGGCAAGAAAAAGGCTTTTGGGGAAGAGGAGTACAGGGCTTTTCCTGGCAGAGGCAGTGCTGTGTGTGAGGATCTGCATATCTCAATGGGCAGTGGTCTGCTGGCAGTGCTGTGTGTGGAGAGCACGGCCTGCCTCAGGAAGAGGGGGGAGCATTCCCACATCTCCTGTGGGGTGAGCTCTGGTTCCATACACATGCAGCTTGCAGAGCTCGGAACCTGTCTCTTATGGTTAACCTGGGAGAAGTTTCTAGCTCGGTGCTTGGAGCTTTACCACCTGGCCAGCGTTCAAACCCTGCCTGGATGGTAGTAACAGGACTGCAAATTGGAGCATTAGAGGAGATGAGGTTACCCCAGAGGACCCATCTGAACCTCTGGTACCGTATGTTCTACAGAGGGACTTCCAAACAAGGCTTTAAGGAATAGGGCATCCAGGTTCCTTGGCTGGGAGCCTGCTTTCATTTAATAGGAGTTGATTGAATTTACCAGGAAAACACCCAGCCCCAAGTGCCATCCATGAGGATGCAGCACGCTGTAACAGAGGTTCGATGCTCCTGTGCCAACAGCCAGATTCTGATGCGTGGAGGGGAATTGTTGGTCTGGAGCCCTGAGAATGCCTCACTTGAAGATATTAAAGCCTCCTGAACCTTGTTTCTGTTTTTGGCTGCTCACCTCTCAGGGCTCTACGGGAAGATTTGGCAAAGGTCTCTGAGGAGGAAGAGCTGCGTATTAGAAAGGAAGAAACTGAGAGACTCTCAAAGCTGCGAGCTGAAATTGCCTCCGAGACCAAAGCAGAGGAGGAGAAGATAAGGTGGGAAGTTTTCCTGCCATCCCTGGGGATGTAAACTGCTGCTCTGGGAGGGAAGCGTCTCACACGTCACCAGCAATGGCTCCAAGCGGAGGTGTTAGCCCTCCCGAGCCTCCTGTGGCTGGTACCCTGCTGAGGTAGCAAGTACAAGGCCCGAAACGTGATGCTGTGTTGCTGTGATGTTGGGCCACAGCTCTGGGCCACGTAAGTGAAAGAAATGGCACCTGTAAGGAGAGGAGCAGTTTGCAGCGTGGCTTGGTTTGGGCGGATGTCTCTGTTTAACAGCTCTTAAGGCCTGTGGAATCAATTGGAGGAGGCAGACACTGGAAAACCTACAATTGGTTATTTCCTATTTCACTGGCTGCTTTGCTGTTTCTTTCCAAAGCCTTAATTGGTATACTTGTGAATGGTGTGCTGTGATTCTCAGTTTGTTCTGCCTTGCATGTGCTGTCGTCTCTTGGCTCTGGTTCCTAAATGGAGTCCAGTGGTAAAGTACCAACTTCTATCTGTACTCTTGTTGCAAACCTACCAGGGCAGAGCAAGAGGCCACACTGCAGAAACTAAGAGAAGAGTGGGAATTCCAGCAGGTGATGGAGAAGGAGAGCCTGGAGAGGAAGCAGCAGCTTGTTTTGCAGCAAGTGAAGCTGGAAATGGAGGAAGTTCAGCAGAAAGAGATGACCAAGCTGGAGCATGAGAAGGACCAATCCCTGAGAGAGCTCAGGTTGAGATTAGATGGGGAAAAGAAGAAGGTGAGATCTTTATGCCCAGCTAGGGCTTGTGTTGCAAAGCTAAAGCATTGAGATGAAATAACACCAGTATGTGTTTTAACAATGGCTCACTTAAACCAGAGGAAAGATGCTAAGGTATGATGTTAGAGGCTGATTGAGGTGGGGAGGAGTACTCCCCCAGGTTTTATTGCAGGGGTGATTAAATAACAATTACTTACATGGCCGTGTTGCATGTGAAGAAGAGAGAAAGATCACCGTGTCTCTGCCGAGCTAAACCAAGCCACTTTATCTGATCACCTCTTTGGCTGCTGCTTTAGTCCTCCTGAGAGCCTGGGCAGTTCAGAGTCCTTCCAGCACAGCACGATTGAGATCCACTGAGATCTCCTTGCGTGTGCTCTGGTTTGGAAGGGGTTTACCATTGTGCTTTTGGTGCTTGTGGAGAGATGATAATGGCAAATTCATCTTGTGTGGTGTGTCCCCACACATGGAGGTTTTCCAGCAGCCTGTCTTGCTCCTGTGCCTGCAGGCAATGGAAGAGCTGGAGGAGGAGTTTGCAAGTGAACTTCGGCAGCTGAAATCGGCAGCAGAAGAGAAGCACCGTAAGGTAAGAGCTGGTGTCCTTACAGTGTAAATAGTTTTCTCCCACACTGCCACCAAAGGTGCCCAAGGAGGGTGGTGTTAATGTTTTCCACTTGCTAAATGTGGTTCCGGTCTGGCTCAGCATTTGGACAAGCTCCAAGCAGGGGGAGGTGAGACTGCACACACTGGTCTTTGCCATGCTGCTTGCTCTCCGTAGGAGGACGCTGAATGGATCTTGTCAGAAGGGTGACAAATCTCTGGGGGTGGCTTTCATGGCAGGTCATTTCCAGCCTGCAGACCCAGATAGCAGAGGCACAGAGGAGAGAGGAGGCTCAGCTGCGGGAAGACTTGCAGAGAGCAGAGCAGAAAGTGCAGCTGAAAGCCTATCGACTGACAGAATACGAGCACGAGGCAAGTATTCACCTTGGCTTGCTGATGGTCCCTCACCATCTCTCACTGGATGTGTCCTGGGGTCTGAGAGGCCACATCCCCTGCCCGAGGGTGACGGTGGTGCGAGGGGGAAGAGCACCCCTGCAGCATCTTAACCTCACCAGGGTGCTTTGTGCTACCCGGGCCACAGCCTGATCCCACTTGCAAAGTACTCTTGAGCTTCAGTCCCTCTGCTCATGTGTGAGTTGTTCCCTGGGGGGGCTGCTCGGGTCTGATGCTGTAGTTCAGAGAAACATCTTCTTGTGTCACCCCTGCAGCTCAGCGAGCTGATGAGAGAGAAACGCCAGGAAGTGGAGAAGGACCATGAGAGGAGAATGGAGAGGATGAAACGGGAGCATCAGGAGGCTCTGGCACGGGTTCAGGATCAGTATGAGGAGGAGGTACTGCTGGGTGAGAGCAGTGGGGTTGGGAGGTGACTGGTGGCTTGCTCAGTTGGGCTCACACAGCTACTTGCCAGTCCTGTCTATCTCAGCCACTCCTAGAACTGGAAACTCTCTTTCTGGCCGTTGTTGCCGTGACGTAAAGTGAATTTAGGCTGGGGTTATAAGGATAAGCTGTCAAAATGTTCTCTGTGAGGGCAGCTTCCACGTGCTTTTGTGGATTTCTGCATGATATTTGTGGGTACCCATTTTGGAAAGCCGCCTGCCTCCCATTTTTGACTGTTTAGTCAGCAGTACATAACACAACCTCAGTTTCATGGGCTGTTTCTTCTTTCTTGAGCCATTTCCTTAACAGTGTTGTCCCTGTAAGCAAAAGGTTCTAACCTGCTGTAGCTGGTGTTAGCTCCGGCCTCGCTGTCTGTGCTGTCGCGATGCTTTGCTGGAGAACCCTGGGCTTCACTCAGCGCTGTTCCTGGTTGTGTTTGGCACCAAACAGGAGAGGAAGCAAAGAGCAGAGCTGCAGGAGGGCCTGCAGGGCGAGCTGGGGCGCCTGCGGCAGCGGCATGAGCTGGAGGTGAAGGCGCTGCAGGCAGAGCTGGGCGAGCGGCTCGCGGCGCTGCAGCACAAGCACCGGGAGAAGGTGAGCGTGTGCTGCGCTGCTTGGCATGGCCTGGGAGCCCTGGCACCTCGTGTGCCTCCCGCCCTCTGCACCACAACGGGCAGGATGTGCTTTCCCAGGTCCCGGTGTGGTGGCAGAGCTGTGCCTGGTGCGGGAGGAACTCGCGCTGCTCTTTAACTCAGCGTCTCTGTGCAGGAGAGGGAAGTGCAGGAGTTGGAAAGCGAGCTGGAGATGCGCATGAGGAACGCGCAGACCAGGTCAGCACAGCTCCTGAGCCAGGTGAGTCCCCACGGCTCTCCCAGCCTCTCCTGGGAGGCTTTGCAGAAGTGCTCAGCCAGGGGTTTTCCTGCCATGAAGGTTACAGGTAAAACCTCCATCTCCAGGCAGAGCAGGGCTAAGTGCTCCTGGCAGTACAGCCTCGTGGCTGGTCTTTGCAGTGAAAGACAGTAAGTGGCTGTAAAAGTGACAGGGGGATCATTAAAGCCTTTCAAGGTGGCATGTTCTGCTCGGCATCGTGTCAGATTTCAGTCAGCCCCTTCCTGATTTACCTCCTCTTCTCCCTGCTGCTGTGAAAAGAGTGAGGGTTTCTGGATCTTGGGTAGCAGTGGGAGAGGGAAGCACTCCAAATGCTCCAGTGGAGCTGGCAGAAATCCCTGGCTGATGCTCTCGCCTGCCAGATCTCTTAAGTCCTGGCCCGTGCCAAGGGCTGTAGATAACATTGCTTCTGTCAGCCCTTCCTTTCCCAGCAGCACTGGGCGAGGAAGTGAAAAGGTAAAGAAATGGTGGAGGTGAGCAGAGGCTTCACAGAAGCAGGATCCTGTGGAAATGACCATGAGCCCCGAACACTGCAGGGGAACGCAGATATGCCTAACTTCTCCCTTGAAGGCAAATAGAGGAAGGGGATCTTGAACGTGTGGGGGGAATAAAGCAAAACTGACAACAATCCTCAGGTTTTGAGATGGTCTTGGGACTTAGGCCTGGCCTGCTGCAAGTGCTGCTGGGCATTAGCATCTCCTCCCTCTGACACTCACCTGCTGTCTTACCTGTGTATAGGAGGAGTCTCTGAGGAAGAAGAGGCAGCAGCTGCTGGAGGAAGACAGGCAGGCGAAGCTGGAGCGAGACGTACGTATGCCTTGGCTCTGGAGAGGTGCTGTGCTGCTCTTCCTTTGGGGATGAGGGCAGCACACTACAACTGTGGCTTTGAAGAAGCAAACTGCTTCCCCTAAGTTGTGAGCGTGAAGGTCTGGAGTGCCATCCTGCTGGCAGTTTGATCAGCTCCAAGCTGTTTCCTAAGAGAAGGAGCCAGTTCTGTGCCTGCAGGGTTGGCGCATGGTGTGTGCCTGGGTAGCTCTGGGACCTCCTGTGCGCTGTGCAGGTAGCCAGCTCCTGCACGTTGTGTGCCTTTTGCTTTGGTGCTGGGGAGATAACTGTGAGGGATTCTTTGGCTTTCTTCTAGGAAGCTGCTTTAGCCTCTCAGCTCCGGCTAGAGGAGAGCAGGAAGGAGCATTCCAGCCTCCTGGAGTCTATCCGGCAGCTGCAGAAGTCTGTGGAAGAGCTCCAGGACAAGAAGGCTGAGCTGGAGGCTCAGGTGGATTTGCTGCAGACCCGAAAGCAGAGGCTGCAGAAGCACAAGAGGTGAGAGCATGAGGGATTTCCTCTGGTACAAGCACATCTACCCTCTGCCCTGACAGAAACCTCGCCCGGGCCTCTCCCTTACCTCTGAGCTGCTCCTGTGCTGGACCATATTCTTTCAGAATCCTAATGTCTTACTGTGTGCTGAGGGCACGGGGGTCCTGGGCTCCGTTTCCCGATCTATTTTTCACTTGCTGTGTAATTTTGCCCCTTCACCTCTGCTCGTCACATTCATTTGGCTTCTCTCCACCTGTCTGATGAGGTTAATAAGATGCTTTGAGACACGGGTTCCTGGGCTAGATGGACCTGCGGTGTAATCAAGTGTTGTCTTTTGTGTGGCAGTGAGCTGGACGCAGCCATCAGAAGCAAACAGGACACTTTGAAACAACTGGAGGCAGAAGAAAGTGTGGAATCTCCAAAGGAGGAAGCTGAGCTCCGTGCTGAAGACCTGAGGGAAGCTAGTCAAGCTGTGAGTAAAGCAGACTGTAAAGGTGCTTGCAGTGTGAGATCTGAGGCTGTAACTCCCTTGAAAATCCCAGCTTTTGTTCCTTCTGGTTGGAGTCGGTTGAGATGCAGTGATGCGTTTTTCTTTGCCAGGGGACATCAATATGTTTAGGGCTGATTTCTGTCTCTTATTACTGGGAGGAAAGGAGTGTGGGATACTTGAGTGCCCTTGGAGTCAAAACAGGGATGGAAATGTCTTTGTTACTTTTGAAAAGTCCCATGAAGAACATCCCTGGCACTGATTTTGAATCTGGGCCCTACCCTGATGATGGCATTGTGAATGTTGGCTCCTAATTGGATTCTCATGGGGTTCTAGGGTTCTGTTTCCCGTACAAATGTCAGTTGTTTCCGTGTTTCAACTCCTCAGCACTCATCTGGAGAGCCTGTTTCCCCGCCTGCCCAAAGCCATGAGGACAGTGACCTGCAGGTTGATCAGTGAGTATCTTACACCAGCTGCTTCTGGAGAAGGGTCTGCTTTGGCTTTACGAGCAGGAGGGTGCAGCACAGGAAGGCAGGAGCATGTGTCTCTCTCATGTAGTGTCAGGAGCTACATCTCTGCGGAAGGGATCTCCATCAGGAATGCCAAGGAGTTCCTGGTGACCCAGACCCGCTCCATGAAGAAGAGGCACATGGCACTGAAAGCTGCAAAGCAGCAGTGGCACCAGGACATGCAGAAGGCCCAGGAGGTGGTGCAGGATCCCAAGAGCTCCCAGCACCTGGAGGGCATGCGCAAGAACCTGGAAGAGGTGAGCAGTGCAGCCCAGTCGCTTGCTGCAGTGCAGCAGCTTGGCTTTAGTTGAAGCTCTTGGGACCTTCAAGTGGAGGAAGTGTCACCTCCTTTTCCCTGGGGTGAACTGGCTTTGAGGCTTATGCTCTGCCCTCTGTACATTCCGTTTCCCATGCTCTCCAAGACTTGGGAGCAACTTTACTCCAGCAGCATCATTTCCAGTGCTGAGTAGAAGTGAGATAATGAAAGTCACCCCAACCACTAATGCAGTTCTTTCCTGTCGTTCTGGTTCACGTCTCCTCCTTGGCTTGGCTGTTGACCCCCTGCAGGAAGCCAAGCAGTTGGACAAGATGAAGTCTGCTATGCGGAAAGGACAGGTACTGCTCAAGAAGAAAGAAGAGAAGCTGAGCCAGCTGGAGTCCTCGCTGCTGGAGGAGGTAACCACCAGCATCACTGCTGCTCGGGTCTGCCTGGCTGCGCTCCAACCTGCCCAGAGCCCCCTTCCCTGTGCTGAAGTCTCTGCAGGGCTGTTGGTCCCTGTTGGTGAGGCTGTTTATGGTGGCCAGAAAGTGGTGCTTGCCAGTAGAGCTGGGTTTCTGAAACACATTCTCTGAGAGCAGAATAGGGACCCAAATAAGACGTGCCTTAAACCACAGCAGCCATACAGCATGTCTTATTTGGGTCATTTTCCTTCTTTTGCCCAGCTTTCAGATGAAGACACTCTGAAGAGTGCTGCATGCAAGAAGATGGTGACTTTTGATCTCAGCGACTCTGAGGATACAAACAGCCCATCCAGTGTAAATGTAAATCAGCCTGAATGTAAGTGCCTGACTGTCATGTGCAAGGGAATTGCTGTTATGTTTATGGCTGTGTGAAGGGGTACAGTAGAACTGGGAGGGATGGGGCAGGGAGACCAGCTGCGCACACTCGTGCATATCCAGACTTGTGTGGCAGGCCCTGTCCTTGCAACATGGGAGGGTCATGTCCTTGCTATCATGGTTCTGCTCCACTCTGTGCCAAAGCAGCCTCCAAGGCACAAATCCTGGCTGCAAAGCCTCTGTATCCCACTTAGCACAGATTGATTGGCGTCAGCTTGGACAGGGAAGGTCTCCTGTCTCCCTTGCCTTCCCAGTGACCCCTCTTTTCCCCTCTTTTCCCCCAGTTGATTTGAGAGCTGACTTGCAGGCTGTCCCCGAGCCAGACAAGGTCAGGTTCCTGACAGAGTCTGTGACGCGTATCTCTAGTGAACTCAACAGGGTCCTTGGTGTCTTGGGCTCTCTGAGCAGCCAGCAGTCTCCACTCTTCACCTCGACGCCTTGTGACAGCACCCCTGTTTCCACATGTACCTCCTTGCCAGGACTTCATGCGGGAGGCTCCCGGCTGCCCCCGCCAAGGACGTCTTTGGCTGACCAGTTGTCCTGGAGCTCTGGGCTGAGCTCTAGTGACTCTTTGGCAGCTGGACGCTCAGTGGACAGCATCCTGGCAGACAAATGGCACAGGTACTTCCCAGGTAAGTCAGTCCCTGTCTTTACTCCATCTGCTTGCTTGCTTTTGGTTTCACAGCCCTACAAGTTCTCACCGTGTTCTCTCCAGCGCTGGTAAGGCCAGATCCTCTGGTGCTGCTGATAGGAAGGGTGCTAATGAGATAAGGAATAAGAGCTTCATTCCAGGAAGTGCAGCATATGGCTGATCTGGTTTCTGGAGCAGTTCAGCCTTTAATATACACCCAAGAAAGCAGTTCTTGCTCAAGAAGGGGCTCTGCTTCACTGGAAGCCTCCTGTGACCTACAGATAGATTCACCATCTCTGTTTCCTTAACACCACTCTGTCCTTGGCAGGTGGCTCAGCTTGTGGGGACGATGTGTCCATAGTACAGGAAAGCAAATGCACCCAGATATGAATGCCGTTGATTCTGGGGGGGCTGTATTTAATCTCTGTTTTCCAGGTGGGTTCCCATCGCACTCTGGAAGTTCCAGGCTTCTGGACAACAAGCTGGGATATGTACCTGCAGAGTAAGGGTCTTGTTCCTTGTTCTTGTTTCATTGTGGTGCTTTCCTTTCTGTGGAATGATTTATAGGTCACACCATATACCATGTAGATAAAATCATAAGGTACGTGTTAAGTAGACAAGTTAGATGTCATCAGTTACTCATTGCCACATGCTCAGTTTTGGGTCAGCGTGGGTGTGGGATCATTTCTGCCTAGACGCCGTTTTTCCCACTTGCACCGTCTCTTTCTGTCCCCTGTACAACAGGGAGCAAATCCGGCTGTTGCAGCGCTCCCAGTTCCAGAGCTGTGAGTCAGACAGGACAAGTATTGAAGGAATGATTGGGATGAACAAGAAATGGCTGAAAGACTTCACGAGGGAATCAAAACTGTATCCTTTGCCTGGGTCCCTAATTGCACTCCAGCTTCCTGCAGCAGGTCCGAGCACACAGCAGGAGGTGCGCGAATCAGGAGCTGTAAAGCACTGAAAGCATCAGGGGCTTTGCTGCGGGCATTCCCTGCTGAGCAGCCTGCAGTGAGGGACAGTGTCTTGAGGCCGGGGTGCCTGGAGACGCGTGGCCCTGGCAGGGGGGCGGTGGGGCAGGGTGGGCTGGGCTCCCTGTCTGAGCTCCCCCTTGCTCCAGCTCAGTTTTAGGGCACGTTGTAGCATGTGGTTGGGCCAAATGGGTGAGAGCTCCCTGTTCTGTCAGTGGGGATGGTTCCAGGCTCCTGTTGTATCTGCCTTACGCCGGAGCTCTCGGTATTTCCTCGGCAGCGTGACCGGCATTAGCAGCAAATCCCTCGGGCTGTCCTGCGCACGGTGCTCCTTGAATTCCCTAATCCCCCTTTAATTCCATTTGACTTGGGTGCAGCAGGCTAAATGCAGCACATGTGTGCAAGCCTGGCTCCTGCCCCTCCGTACCTATCCTGTCTGCTGGCTCTGCTCGTGCCTGCTAATGCCTCACCTAAGCCAGGCTTTTCCTTCACCCAGCTGCCAGGCCTCCCTTCTCAGGGGCACAGAACCCCCCTGCCAGCAGCTCCAGCGTACTTCAGCTAAGACTGGATGAAAACAGGCAAATCAAACTCTACCATTACTAAAGGGTGGGCCTTGGCTCTGCAGGGATGGTGGCGGGGGCCACACATTGGTTCCTGTGATCCCCAACCATCTCTGCTGCACCTCTGTGCTGTGCCCTTGAAATAAAGTCTTTTTCCAAGAGAGCGGAGGAAGGAGGAAGTGAACTTCCCAGGTGGATTCTTCTAATCCTGTAATGTGTCCAAATATGCTTTATAGACTGTTTAATCCAGTGCTGAAACACCAGGGCTTCGATAAATCAACACTTCTCTCATTAGTATTCCAGCGACCGTGAGCCATGGCTGTGAATCACAGAGGACTTGGAACTGGTCAAGGGGGGGGATGTGAATCCAGCTGAGGCTCTGCTAGAGGAAACGTGTCAGGAAAGGAGTCCACCCTGAGGCCCAGCAGATGCTTAATAGCAGGTGGGCCAAGTCATCTGCCTCTGGCACGTGTGTGAGCAGGCAGTGCGAACGATGACGTGGCTCTGGAGCCCAGGGACAGCATTGGAATGGCAGATTCTGGCTCTCAGGACATGCTCCTGTCTTTTGGAGTGGAAGCAATAGGAACTAAGCTGGGAATGGCTTTTCATGGCTCCCTGCTTCCTCTTTGTGCCACGCCAGCCAGAGCTGTGCTGCAGGAGCTCTTCTGTGTTAGGGATGTGCAGCATGGAGCAGGGATGGTGAGAGATGATGGGGAGGTACCTACCCAGCCTAGCGTGGATGAGACAAATCCCTGCCTGCATCCTTCTGTGCCCTGAGAGGGACCTGAGCTCAGCTGCCAGGCAGTGGCTGCAGGGGTGCTCCTGTGGGAGGCAGGGAGCTGGGAGGGGGCAGATGGTGCTGCTGTAACGGGAGGCAGGAGCCAGGCTCTGCTGGTGCAGAGCAGGAGTGTGCTCTGTGCTTGTCTTTGTCACTATTTCCTCCAAGCTGACGTTAAATATTTTAGGCTTTAAGGAGCTGCTGCACCACTTTGCCATTTTGCCTGGTGAAGGAGGCTGCGTTTCAGGGAATCCCATCTGTGAGGAATCATCTTCAAAGGCACTCTCCTTGGATGCTGAGGCTGCCGCTCTGCACCCGTCAGTGCTGGTTGTGCTCCTCGTGATGTGCAGCAGAGTAAGGCAGAGCCCGCCCTGCTTTGCTTCCCCGTGCCCTGGCACGGGGGATCGTTTACATGCAAAGAGAAATCTATTTTTGATGAATGGAATTGTGAAACTCCCAAGAATGTCTGAATTTAGTCTTTTGTTCCTGATTTTCTTGGAATTTTTTAGTTACTTTGTCCTAGGCCAGCTCGATCTGTGCTCAGGTCCATGTTCTCCCACTTTGTGGGTGCTAACCAAGTACAGGGTAGTCCTTCCTGAGGAAATCCCAGCCAGCCTTTCCTGGCTGTGACTGAAAGGGGCGATCCAAGCGCAGGTTTCCCATCTCCTGTGGGATTGCACCAATCCCTGTCTGTAGGGGTTTTGCTTTTGGATTCCTGGCTGTTGATGGGACACGTGGCAATCTTTCCAGCTGGGTGCTGCAGAGGGGAGCCTGAGGTTCTGGCAACCCAGGCAGGCTGTGCTCAGAGCCACGCATTGCAGTGCAGAGCGATGCCTCTTTCCTTAGCAGTAACTCGTTGTGAGCATGTTCCTGTTAAATCCTGTGACCGCGGCTGTATGTGGTTTTGTACTCAAATTAAACCAGCACGAGCCTGTTTTGTACCAGGGGTGTTTGAGGCTCTGTTTTTCTCTCGATGGGATGTTCCATTGTAGCCCTCGCTATCAGCTTGGCTTCCCTTGCGCATCTTCCCCTCGCTCAGCTCTGGGCTCTTTCATGTCAAGGTCACTCCTGGCAGTCCTCAGGACCACTCCAGCTCACGGTGCCTTTGTCACCGGTATTCTGTTAAGTACCTGGCCAGGGTAGGGAATGCAGGGGCCAAGCAAAAGCTACAAAGCAAAGCTACAAAAGCAGTTGTTGGGGCTCTCAGCAGCAGGACAGCTTTACACAGGCTCGTACCCTGCCCGTGTCATGGAGCTGTCACCCTGCTTCTTTACAGTGGCTCTGGAGCTGTGTGTCAAGGCCAGAGTATGGGCTGTGTGTGGTGCAGTAGGGAGCTGGGGAATTGAGCCCTGACTGCAGATGTGTAGCATGGCCAAGGGAGATGGGGAGAGGGGAGGCTCAACCCCCCTTGTTTCTTCAGCTCTGATTCTTGTGCACAGTGCATTGCTCCTGGAAGTCTGAGGTTCAGATGGATGGGGATGTGGGGCTCTGAGTGAACCTAACGTGATTCGGGCTACCGGTACAACCAAACATGGCCAGAGGATGCTTGAGGCACGTGGATGCTGTGCGTGGTTGTGCTCTGCCTGTGGTGGGAGGGTTGGAAAGGAAGGAGTGCAACTGCTGCTGTGCCCCCCGGGGAGAGGAAGGCTGTTGGACTGATGAGGCTCAGGAATAACAGTGTGTGGATCAGGTGGTCCTGCAGAAACAGAGGCCGATAGAGGCACATCCTTCAAACCAAACACAAACCACCACAAACCTTGCACACCCCCCCAGCTCTTGCTGTGCATGGGCTGCACTTTGTGTCTTTGTGGGAAGAGCTACTGGAGGAGGATGGCAGCGCACGCTGTCCAGGTAGGCGCTTGTGGGGATGAATCCCTGTTCCCCCTCCCGAGGCAGCCGCTGTGCAAAGAGCGCAGGGGTCCAAAGTCCCCTCTGAACTGCAGGTGCCTGCTGGGTGCAGGAGGCTTTGCTGTGGTGCAGTGCAGAGCCAGCCCTGTGGGGGTGTGGGGTGTGCATGTACCTAGGGAAGAGGATTTGCCTTTCCTGGCCCTACTGGTGCTGGGTGTGTGAGAACCGCAGTGATTACAGGAGCAAAAGGACAGCGCCTGATTACTCTGCCAAGATGAACACAAGCCCTAAGCTCATTAAGGGGCTTGGCCTCTGCCTGCTGGGGAAGGATCACGTCAGTCCCTGGCCATTCGGAGACCGCTGTGCATTGCTCCAAGGCTTTGCCTCCCTCGGACAGCCCAGCCATGCTGGGGACCCTGATGACAGCGCTCTTCTTCGTGGTGAGGGCGTTTGGGCAGGTGAGTGCGGGCAGCCTGGGGCATTCATTGCTTCCCGTCTCCTTCTGTGGGTTACCTGGTGGAGGGAGGGCAGCAACGGGCCCTGGCCCTGCTGGGTGGTGGGGGGTGCAGTGGGAAATGTCTGTGCCACTGTGAGCTGCAGCACAGCTCTGAGCCCTGGCTCTCCGTGCAGGGAGAGGAGGCAGAGCCCCTGCTTGCCATGGTGGGCATGGCCTGCTCTGCCTCCCTAACCCATGGGGCTGCCCATGCGCTGTGCAGAGCTGTGTGGCCTCAGCTCTGCAGCCCCACTGCCTCAGGATGAGCCTTTCTCATCGGTGCGGTGCCATAGCACACACTGAGCATCACCGCTGCTGCTCGCTGGTGACGTCTGTGGAGACGCAGCTCTTTCGGTTGTTGTTCTGCTTCTGTCCTCTTACCTGTGCCCACCCTCTGTGTGCCCAGCTGGGGAGCAGCCTGTTCCGTGAGGAGCCCCTGCCATACCTCGTGTACCAGCCCCTGCCCTGGCAGATCCAGTGTGTGACCCAGAGCCGCCGCTCCAGCCGGGACAGCGAGGTGAGGGCTGGCATCGCGATGCTCCTGGCGCCCAGGGATGTGACCGTAGGGGCTGCCTGGGGCAGTGGGCAGAGATCTTCTTTTCCCTTTAAAGACAGAAATCATGGTGATGCCTGAGGTGGGATAAGCTGGAAAACGTAGGAAAGACGTTTGCAGACAAATTCAAGCCTTATTTTTAGAGATGAGAATCTCCCCTGGCAGAGCTGACATCCCAGTGCCACAGTGTCATGGTAGGGGACACAAACCCCGCAAGTCTGGTTCCAAGCTGATGGCAAATACAGGTCTGGTGAGGCCTGTGCCAATGTGCATCCTCAGGTGCTGCCAGCGCATCCCAGATGTGGTTTTTGATACAAAGCTCTCCTGCTTCTCTTTGGAGGGCTTTTAACAAACAGAAAGTAACCAGGGAACAGCAGTGAGTGTGTTTGAGGTTCCTAAAGGGGTGGATAGTGGTGAGCTTGGCGAGGGGGCTGTCCCTTTTAGAGCTTCCCAGCTGGCCTGCGGGGACTGTTCTTGCTGCCTCTGCCCGGGGTGTAACTGACTGCGCTGTATTTGTGCTCTCTACCCTTCTAGAGAGGCAGGAGCTCTCGGCACAACAGCATCTACTCCATTTCCGGAGAGAAAGGTGAGTACGGAGCAGGCGGGGAGCCAGCCCTGCACAAGTAACATGGGAAGCGCATGGCTGTGACTGCAGGATGCAGCAGAAGAGCAGGAATTGCCATTCCTGGGCCATTTGTGGCCTCTTCCTTCCAAAAAATCTCTCTGACATTGTTAAGGGGTATTTTGGAAGATGATTATTGAATCTGCAGTATCAGCAGGTGGAGGCCCCAGTGAATAGACATCATCACACACATACATGGGTGCATGTGCTCCCTGCCTCTTCCCATGAAACCTGCCCATGGGATCGCGTGTGTCGCTGTCCCCCAGACCAGCCCCTCTTCCTCTCCTCCCCCTCTCTCCTCCTCACTCCTATCTCCGAGGCTCTGCCAAAGTCAAGCACCCAGCAAAGAGGATTTGGTGTTTCTATTCCCAGTGCAGCTCGGGCAGCAGCCGGATGAAGGAGGTGACGTGCAGGGGGGGCTGAGCTGTGATGTTCCTCCTTGGTGCACGGACCAGTACCTCTGCTGTGGGGGTCTCACTGCCCTGGGAGCGGTGACAGCCCCTGCGCTGACAGCAGCACTTATCCTGGTGCAGCAAACACGTGTAGAGCATCACAGCCCCGGTGGCAGTGCAGGACGTACATCCCGTGTATCTTGTTGAACAGGGCAGGAGGGAGCTCATTCCCAATGCACCCCCCTTTTATTCATCCTCCTTTACTTTGCAGTTTCTTTTAGGCTGTGAATAAAAGCGGGTTCAGGTGAGTTTATGGAGCAGCATCTGGCACACGGGTTTCTGATGGCTGCTCGGGGGGTGCTTAGCAGTGACAGGCTGGCTGAAAGGAGCGCTGCTGAGTGCCTTTGATTCAGCTCCTGTTGAATTTCACAATACTTCCCTAATGCCACATTAAGTGCGAGGTGGGGAGGGCTCCCATTTGTCAGCGTGAGAGCTTTATTGCTGTACGGTGCTGGGCTGTTTCCTAATCTTATTTGTGTGTGTGAAAGTAAGTGAGCATCATACTCGGTGATTAAATGTGGGGAAGCTGAGGTCTTCGGGGACTAAAGCTGCGTAAATAGAGGGCTTAGCGCTGCCAGGGAGGATGGGCTCTTTCCTCTGCCTCCTGGTGCCTGCAGATGTGCTCTGGGAGACAGTGAGATTGTGCTTTCCTGGTGGGGACCCTCCACCCTCCTGCCTGTGGGTGCCCTGCAGGGGCCTGTCTGACCCCGTGGTACCTTGTTTGTCACCCCAGGCTGCGTGACCCCCGATGCCAGCAGCCAGTTCTTCAGTGACCCTTCTGAGAAGGCGGCCGTCACCATCCAGACCCACTTCAGGAGGTACCAGCAGCAGAAGCAGGAGAAGAAGTAGCTGCGTTGGTGGCCCGTGCCCTGCACTGTCCCTCCTTTCTGTCTGTTCTGTACCCCAGAGATGCGTGGCTGCGGTGACTGAACCTGCTCCCCATTGCGTAGCGTTGTGTAGGTGTGTGCTCTGCTGCTCAGAGCGAGATCTCTTTCCTGACCAGTCCTTCCCCAGCACTGCCTCCTTGGCCACGGCGCAGGCTGAACCTCAGCACCCAGGGAGTGATGTGCATTGACAAGCCTGTCCTCGGTGGCTGCAATGGGCCCTGCACAGCTGATGGTGATCATGGCTGGCTCACTGCTGCCCAGCTGGGGCTTGTTTTGCCCTAAAACAGCCCTGCCCTGGGCCTCCATGTTCACTCTGCCTCTGGAGCTGCATGGGATGATTGCGTTTGTCCCTGCTGCAGGAGCCAAGGGATGTGCTGTGGGAGCTGAGCCCTGGGTGACCATGAGCTGATGTTGCTTTTCCTGGGGAGAGCTGCTTGGGGTGCTGGGGTTTGGAGGAGGAATGGGGTTTGGGGCTCTTTCTCCTGGGGCTGCACCCGTTGAACCTGCCCTTATCCAAGTGAGGCTCCTTCCTGGGACATTCCGGTGTTTGGGTTGGTGCCTGCTGTTGTCCAGTAAAGCTGAGCAGAGATTTGCTCCCGGTCTGGTGCTCCCGGGGCAGGACCACAGGATTGGCTTGGTCTTAACATCCATTTAAAGTGCTGGCTTTTGGAGGGGGCTGAGAAAGAGGGAATATGGCAGCTGTGGGCCAGCAGGGAGATGGGAGGTTTGCTGTGAGAGGCTGGGGAGGAAGAGGTGGGTGCTCTGTGGGAGTGGAGGGGAAGGATGGAAGAGCTGCTGGCTGTGAATGGCGCTGCTCCAATGGCTTGAGTGTGGCCCCACTGCCGCTTTGCCAGGGCTGATCTGTACCCTTAGAGCCCTTTCTGTCCTTTCCAGCCACTGAGGTCCTCAGTGCAAGGGCTCCATCCCCAGCTGCACCCACTTAACTTCACAGTGGAAGTGCTGGTGTTTGGTTGGGCTCAGCTGGTGCTGGTTGTGGTTGGCACTGAGTGCTGCCCGCAGGGCTGGTGATGGGTCTGACACCATGGTGATGGGACCTGTGCTGTGAGCAGCCTGGTGCCAGGAGGTGGGTGCTGTGTGGGGTTTGCTGGAGCTGGTAAATGAGACCCTATCCCAAATCCAGCACATTCCAGGGCTGAGCTTGGTGGGGTTTGTGCAGTGTGGTTTGAATGGACGTTCCCCTTCACCTCCTCATTTATACCTGGGCAGCAGCGTGGGGAGAGCCTGCTGCCATGAAGGGCAGGGGTCAGGTTTGATGGGGGTCTCAAGCCTGAGAGCTGGAAACATGGACTCTGCTAAACCATGCAAAGCCAGGGCTTGGAATGGCTGGGGAAGGGGAGGGAAGGGAATTCTTGCTAGGGTGCAGAAGGAAATCTCTACTAGCCAATTACAATAAAGATGTACTAATCTGTGTTAATCTATTCTTCTGCTTATCTCACTAATCCCCTTGCTCTCGCAGCTGAGAGCAGGCTTGCCTTTTCTTGCCTCTTCTATTTAAACCTGGGGTTGGCATGGCAGAGCTGCTGCTGTGACACCCCTTCGGGGGGGGTGGCACTTGGTGCTTGTTAAAACCTGCACCACGTCGAGGTGCTGAAGCCAAATGTGCACTGGGCTGGGTTGGAAAGGCTTGGGAGAGGCTGCTTTGCACTGGTCCTGCGGGAGGCACAAGGGGCAGGGTTGGTGTTAGCCCTGCATGGCTGCTTTAAGGTAAGGCAAGGAAGTTCTTCCGGCTGCAAAGCCTCAGCACTCAGCTGTGCGTGTTCCACACACAAAATCCAAGTGTTCCTTGTGTGCTGAGTCGGAAACTCGCCGTGCTTGTGTCTCCAAGAGGCTGTTAAAGTGAATGAAGAACAAAAGCCATGTGTAGAAATAAAAGTGATTCAGAACAGATCCAGGGCTTCGTTTGAATAAAGAAAGAAAAGCCAAGCCCAAGGTGTGCACTACAGGAGCAGCCTACCTCAGGTAATGTCACCAGCAGCACCGGGCACTGTTTGCATGTTAATATTTGGGTTGCTCATTAAAATTGTGCTGAGTTTGGTTGTCACCGGGTTAAAACAGCAGCTCTATCATAGGGAAAAATAATGAGGGACATGAGGTGAAATTCCCTGCATGGGTGGTACAGCTGGTAGTGTCAGTGACAAGAGGAAGCCTACCTTGGTTGTGGGGGAAGATGAGATGGAGCCAGTGGGTAGCAAGCATGGATGGATAAGGGATGAAAACAGGAGCTTAAAATGACAGGGAATAAGGAGATGAGCGCAGGTAAGGAATCAGAGCTCAGAGCGCACCAGAGCCTCCTCTGGAAGGCCCAGTTCTACCTTGGGCAGCCAAACCAAGTGGAGCCCCCCTGGACCGCAGCAGCAGTGGCTGGTGCCTGCGTGTCAGAGCCCCCAAGCTCCCCCGTTTGTGCCATAGGGGATTGTCTGCCTGGGCTGGTGCTTCTGCTCACTGACACGGAGCACTGAGGAGTGCTGGGGAAGCTCATGTGAGTTGTGTTGTACTTCTGCTTCTCACTGCGCCAGAGGGCATGTATGCATGTATATATAGGTCATAAGTATATGTGTGAGTATAGGTATCTGTATAAGATATCACCATCTTGGTATGTTTGTTGTAAATGCATGTATAGTAGCTTCAGTAATTGAGCATTGTTGGAAGTCCTGTGATTCGCTTTGCAACTGCAACCTGCTGCTACGTGATGTTTGTAACCCTTTAGATGAGTACCACTGGCCAGGTCTGAGGCTAAGCCTAGATCCAGGCACACGGATACTCCTCTGAGAGGGAGGTTTAGAGAGCAAGGGGGTCTAGGCTGAATCTTGTGACCCTATGTTTCTTTCCTTAGGCTCAGCATTTCCTTTTCATCCTTCAATCTTTCCCCCTTAAATTCCATTAGACATAAACCATTGCCCAAGTCTGGGACTAGGACTAGATCCAGCCCCACCTCTGCTCCATCAGGAGCTTAGAGAGCAAGGGGGTCTGGTCTGAACCTCGTGACTCAGCGGGAGAGTCTCCCTCATCCCTTTGTCCCTTCTGTTTCTACACACACCAATCACTTCAGCCCAATCCTGTATAAATCACTGCCAGTTCTGTCACAATCTCTTGGTCTGTATTAGAGGGAACCTTGTCGTGGCGTTGTGTTGAATCACAGTGGTATAGATGTCTGTGGAAAGGAGTTTTGCTGATGTCTAAGGGTGAGTTACGCTGTGTTAATGGCTTGTGCCACGATGACCTTGATGGGAAGCAGACACTGCAGCTCACTGCACCGCACTGGATTCGACAGCTGTGTGCTGTGCGTCACCCCTGCACTGTGCATCACTGCCCTGCTGCAGTTCAGCTACGGCTGAGGACAAGGGCGCTGTGCTTCACCTTCTGTGGCTGTGCAGCATCAGGAACAAGAGCCCTTCTCCATGCATGGCACCGGAGCTGCACTGCTGTACCGGGGCCGTGGTGGAGCTGGGTTGGGGTTTGCTGTCCTGCACTGCGGTTCCTCTTGGGCTGGAGCTAGACTGCACTTACCGGTGATGAAGTGGCACTGGGGTAGCTGCTGAGGCGTCCTGCTTGGTGCTGCCCTGTGTAGAATCCTGCTCCCATCCCATCCTTTCCCTCCTCTGCAGGTTGGCTCAGCACAGCGGGGAAGCAGGCAGCGGATTTACCTGGATGTATCCGCGCTGCCCTGCTGCATCCCAGCCCTCGCACCACCTAAATCCCTGCTCGCGTTCACAAACACCCGCGTATAAACATAACCTTTATTGCACACAGCGCTGGGCTTTTTTTCATAGAAAAAGGTATTAACACATAAGCATTTGCAAATTGAAGCAACTCCTGCTGTTTTCAGAACAGTAAAATAGCATGCAATGTCTTGGAGACGTTCCTCTTCAAAACCACCAACGAGATCGGGGGGGGGGGGAAGTCGCTGAGTCTTTCCTTGTGCCCTTTCAAAATGATGTGAAATATATATATATGTTTACATATATATTATATTTTTAAATCTGTAACAGCAAATTCTTTGTGCCCTGGTTTCTTTTTCTGTTCGGAGAAGAAGAAAATAGCTTCATTTATACAAAAGAGTCCTTTTATGTACAAGTTTGTTAATTAAATATAAATGGCGCAGGGAAACGAGCAGCATCCGTGGCGGGCGGTCTCTGCGTGGTGCCTACACCAGCGTGTAGGACTTGGAGTAGGCTCCAGCCCCCTGTTTTTGAGACCTTCCTACCCCCGATGTGCTCATTTCTAGGAGCGAGTCCCTGGAGCCCCCCACTTTGGAGTGCGTGGGGCCCCGCTCGGCAGCGGGGGGCTCGGTGGTGGCGGGCGCTGGCGCGGCGCTGGTGCTGGGCGCGGTGGCGCCGGTGGTGCTGGGCATGGGCAGAGTCCTCTGAGGTAAGGTGGTTGCGGCGGGGGCCGGCGGGGGCAGCCCCAGGGGCTTGGCGCCGGGCTCCAGCGTGAGGTGCCGAGCGGGAGCGGGGTAGGCCCGCGCCAGCCCGCGGATGGAGGCTTCCCGCGGCGGCACCACCGGGCACGGCTCGCTGCCCGGCTTGCGGAAGAAGGCCTCCGACTTGGCGTAGAGAGGGAGGTTGCAGTAGTCACCTGCGACGGGAAGAGGAGAGCGGTGAGGAGCTGCGGGACCTGCTCGGAGACAGGGATGCATCCGCTGTGCAAGTGATGCTAGAGGACCCTATGGTCCGCATAAAGTGTCCTAATCTCAATTTCTAACTAATCGATTATTTATCACGTAGTGAAAACCACCCCACTACATTAAAAACCTGTTCCTTTATACACAAGTTATTTGTTACCCTGTAGTGAACTAGAGCTGAAACCATGTCTATTGCATTCTGTCACATGAATGTTACAAGGCGGTGGTGTTGAGGGTGGTGTACGACATTGTGCTCTGTAACACAGCTATGGTAATGAGACATCTGTAATGTATTTGGTGTAAATATTTGTACTGCATGGTAACCTGTGTTAGAGTGCACGGTGCTCGTCACTGTCGTGGGGTATGTCATGTCCAGCGCTACACTGTGCTTCTGGAAGTTATATTTATGCTGTATCAAAATATGTATTTCACAGTGTTGTGTGATACAGCACTAGATACAGCACAGACCTGTCACTGATGTTGTCATTAATCCCTAAACGTAAAGGTGGATGGGGACGTGTACCTGTGTAAAATCCTGCAGGATTAGATCGCCTTAAGTGTGCTATAGCACAAAGCAAAGAGCAGGGCTGTTTGTTGTACTATATGAGGGCCATGGTTTACTGGTGAACTTGGCAGAGGTGGGCTCATCTCAGAGGTGTTCTGCAAACTAAACAGGTCTATGATTCTATGTGCTGTAACTAACCTGTTTGTAATGCTGTACCAACACATGCCAGTCTGTCTCATGCTCTTCTGACGCTTGCTGTAGGCTAGTGTGCGGTATATTGTCTAGTGGGTACTGTATTGTCTAAGCTGAGGTAAGGATCACATTATACCCTATATTACAGATTGTGCTTGCTGTAGAAATTATCATCACAAACAGAAACCATTTGTATTGCATCTCTAGTGTGATGGATGAAAAAAAGGGGGGGGAGAAGAGCTATCGGGGGGTTAAAGGAAGTAAGTTTCAGCAAGGAGGAGATGTGTCTTCTAGGCAATAACAAGCAATAAGGGGGGGGAATGGGAAATAAGGGAGAGGAATACAAGTGAAAAACAAACATGAAAAAACAGGGAGGGATAGGAGGGAACTGGAATGGAGTATTTACTAAAGAATAAAAACTAAAACGGGAGCGAATGCACAACCAATTACTAAGTGTCAGGGCAGATATGAGGTAATACTGAACACTGGGGAAAAGTACTGTATTAGGGGCTGGGAATAAACACCAAGACATTGGGTGCAATGCTTATCAGACTGAGGAATGGGAATACAGAGAAAATGGAAGGAGAAAAAGGAATGAAACGGGATGAGAGCAAAGGAGAGGAGCAATTGGAGAAAAGCAAAGGAGGGAGGAGGAAAACTGAAGAAAAACAAAGAGAACTGAGGGGAACTGAGGAGAAAAGTGAATTTAAGAGATTTTAAAAGAAAAGAGGAGGTTGAAGAGAATTTAAGAGAAGAGAAGAAAATGAGGAGAAGCGAAGAGAACTGAAGAGAGGTAAATTGGGAAGAATTGAAGATAACTGAAGCGAATTTAAGAGAAGACACTGAGGACAATTGAGGAAAACAGATTCTCTTCAGTTTTCCTCAGTTCTCTTAGATTCTCCTCTCCTCTCTTAGGTTTGCTTCAGTTTTCCTCAATGTCTTAGGAGAATTTAGGAAAACTGAAGAAAACCTGAGAAGAGAGGAGAATCTAAGAGAATTGAGGAAAGCTGAAGAGATTCTAGGAGAAAACTGAAGAAAACCTAGGAGAACAGAGGAGATTCTAAGAGAGAAGAATATTCAAGAGAATTGAAGAGCATTGAGGAGAATTGAAGAGAACTGAAAAGAATTTAACAGGAGAATTGTAGAGAATTTAAGAGAACTTAAGAGCGTTGTAGAAAATTGTAGAGAAGAGAAGCATAATTGAAGAGAAGAGACTTTAAGAGGAGTATCAAAGAGAAGTGAAGAGAATTTAAGAGCAGAATTGTAAGGAATTTAAGAAGAGAATTGAAGAGAACTGCAGAGCATTGAAGAGAACTGAAAAGAATTTAAGGAAAGAATTGTAGAGAAGAGAGGAGAATTGAAGAGGAAGAGAAATCAAGAGGAAGACAAGGAACAAAGGGAAGAGGAGCAAAGAGTGAAGAAACGTGAGGTGGAGAAGAATGCAAAAAGTAGAAGCTGAGAAGAAAGAATTGGAATAAATTCATGAGATTTTGAGGGGGTTCTATGGGGATCTTTTCTATAGTGTGTTGGGATCTGGAAAAGATTCCGGTAGAACTCGCAGCAATCTATCAGCAATTCCAACAGAAAACTTTACAAAACCTATATACAGAATCATAGAACAGTTAGGGTTGGAAAGGATCTTAAGGCCATCCAGTTCCAACCCCCGTGCCATGGGCAGGGACACCTCACACTAAACCATGGCACCCAAGGCTCTGTCCAACCTGGCCTTGAACACCACCAGGGATGGAGCATTCACAACTTCCCTAGGCAACCCATTCCAGTGCCTCACCACCCTTACAGTAAAGAACTTCCTCCTTATATTTAACCTGAACTTCCTCTCCTGCTCTCCGCAGTGTGTTTAACTGGTGTATTTGTCTCTGCATTCCACAGCACGTAACCAGGATGCTCACGCATCCGCACGACTTACTCTTGCTGGCGCGGTGCGGGATGGGGACGGCCACGCTCTTGCCCCGTTCGCTGTCCTGGGGCTTGGGTGGGGAAGCGGTGAAGCGGCAGATGCCGGGCTCGGACGGGGTGCTCATGGAGGTCATGCTGTCGGCGTTGTCCGTCGTGCCCGTGGTCATCTGGTCTGAGGAGCTGTCCGAGATGAAGCACTCGGTGATCTCAAACTTGGCGTGCTGCAGCTGCTCCTCCAGCTTTGCGTGCTCGTAGGCACGTGCCAGCTCCTCGTAGGTAGAGGAGGCACTCTCCGTCGACACCATGCTGTTGCGCCCCTTGTCTGGGGAGGAGAGGATGCATCACATACCTGGGAAGGTCTCCCTGGCCCGGGAATGCTATTTCGTGAGAGTTGCCGTATTGTGAGAGTGGCTGTCTGTCCCCAGAGCAGGGCATGACCGTGCTGCTTGGGAGCCACTACAGAGCTTCTGGAGGGGACCAGGAGACCTGCACATACCTATGCTCTCCTCCCATCAGATTACTTGGAGCTCAAAGGCTCAGAGCAGAGCCAGGGACACCACTGCCAGCTGCTCTCAGAGAGCACAAGAGCCACAGGCCCATTACCTGCACTTGTACGATTTATCGCAGTGCTCAGTCCTCACTGGAAACACCAGTACATGTGTCAGTGCTGCTGCTTTCAGTCAGTAACATGCAGCTTTTGCACTGGAGTGATGGTTCAATGATCCCATTGACTAACAGCAAACTGTTTCTGCTGTCACCCCAAACTCACAGGCTGGGCACCACCAATGAGCCCATGGACCCCAACGATGGGAGCTCCTGGCGCTGCCGTACCAGTGTCCTGAGAGAGGCTGGCGCTGTAGCTGTCGCTCTCGGTGACGGTGATGCCGTGCTGGGAGCCCACTGTCCTCCAGTCCGAGGTGAGGGTCCGTGCTGGCGTGGACGCCTGGCACTTGGTGAGGGTCCACTGGCTGGAGTACCGGTTGCGGGTGCTGTGCGCAGACTTGACGCTCTTCCTTGACACAGGGTCTAAGGCACGGAGGTCCCAGTGTCACAGGGGGGCTGTGGCTCACCCACAATTGCCTTGTGCCCGTATCCACGCTACTCCCAGCAGCCCAAACCCAGCCACTTACTGGTGCCGGGGCGGATGTCAGACATGTCGATGAGGGGCCCCGTGTTCTGGATCAGAGCAGGATGATGCAGCGAGACACCCGTGCAGAAGCTCTGGGGATTCACTGCCTGGCTGAACTCTGTGTCAGTCACTGGGATCGTGGCTTTGTCATCCCCTGGGGGGAGGGGGAAGAACTGGAACTCAGATCCCTTGTATTCCCCAGGACACCCAGGGATGGGGGATTTGCCTCCAGCCACAAGATGCAGCCAAGGAGATGGCAGTAACACAAGCGGAGCAGGACCCACAGGCTGCATCCTGCCTGCCCCAGGGGAGGAAGAGGACAGCCTGGGGACACCGCAGGCTCCTCAGGGCCATGGGATGGCAGCCTGCATCCCCTCTGAGGGCAGGGGCTCCACGGCACAGGGAACACAGGGTCCTTACCGAGCTGTTTGATGCCCTCCTTGTCCTCAATGAGGAGCTGCACCCGCGGGATGTCGATGTGCAGGCGGGGGCCCTGCGGGGGCCCCTTCACTGGCGTGTCGAAGCTGCGGTTGTTCTTGCTGTGAGGTAAGAGGGGACGCACACCCGGCCGTTACTGGGGAGAGCAGGGCTGGGGCTGGCACCAGCAGCCCACCCGGGGCTCAGCTCCGGGCAGCCAGCCGGGAGCTGCTGTGCTATCGAGACACCAGCACAACCTTCCCGGTCTGAGCCCAAGGAGGGCTGGAAGCGAGGCAGGGCTGAACCTGGGCTTAAAAGCATTAAGGATGGCCCCCACCAGCCAGCCTTCCCCCCCCACCTGCAGCTCAGACCTACCTGATCAGCATTTCAGCCAAACTCTTGGCATCTGTGCAGGAGACACAAACAAGAGGGAAAGGGGTTGGGTTTGGTTGGGTTTTAAGGTGTTTTAAGCTGTTTAAGGATTTTTTAAATGTTTTTTTTTTTTTTTTAGGCTGTTTTAGGGGTAATAAGGATGCTTTTAGGGGCCTACAAGGATGCTGGGGAGGGACTCTTCATTAGGGAATTAGTGATAAGATAAGGGGTAATGGGTTCAAACTTAAACGGGGGAAGTTTAGATTGGATATAAGGAGGAAGTTCTTCACTGTGAGGGTGGTGAGGCACTGGAATGGGTTGCCCAGGGAGGTTGTGAATGCTCCATCCCTGGCGGTGTTCAAGGCCAGGTTGGACAGAGCCTTGGGTGCCATGGTTTAGTGTGAGGTGTCCCTGCCCACGGCAGGGGGGGTGGAACTGGATGATCTTAAGGTCCTTTCCAACCCTAACTTTTCTATGACTCCATGCACCAAGCCAGTCCAGGAGAGCACAGCTCTGCACCCTGCTCCCATGCACCGTATGTGCCCCATCTCACCTCGAAGCCTCTTCAGCCGCTTCTCCTTCCTCTTCTTGCGGATGATGAAGAGCAGCGCTACCCCCAGCGTGGCCAGGATCACGGGGCAGGCGATGGTGAAGAGCTTCTTGACGTCGTCGCCCTCCCCTTGCGCAGACTTGATGGGTGGGATGGTGCCTGTGGCAGGGCGCGGGTGGGCGCAGGGTCAGTGCCACGGGAGCCCCCTCCTCGCCATGGTGCCCACCCCGTCCCCACTCACTGCCGTCGTAGTCCAGCGTGGCGAACTGCGCGCTCTCGTTGCCGCAGCCGGCGCTGTTGCAGGCCTTCATGCGGAGCTCGTACCAGGTAGCCTCGCGCAGCTCCGTCAGGAACACCTCGCTGGAGCTGTTGGTGCGCAGGCTCTGCCAGCCCCAGTTGCCCTTGGGCCGGTATTCCAGCACGATGGCGGTGATGGGGCAGCCCCCGCTGCTCCAGCCCTGCAGGTTCAGCCTGGCGTGCGTGGAGTTGATGTGGGTGAAGAGGTGCTGGTCCTTGCTGAAGGAGGGCTCTGCGGGAGAGGAGCCGTCAGGAGGGATGCGGGAGGGAGGGCACCACAGGGACCCCATGGGACAGGCTCACCTCTGCCGTGGGTCTTGGCCTCGATGATCTCGCTGATGCGGCCGGCCCCGACGCTGTTCTTGGCCGCCAGCTTCACCTTGTACCAAGTGCCGCACTTGAGGCTCTCCAGCTTGAAGGAGCGCTCTGAGGAGCTGATGAACACGTCCTTCCACTCCTCGCTGTTGTCCACAGAGTACTGGAGCACGAAGCCTGTGGGAGCAAGGATGGGGTGGTCACCTCCTGGCACACAAGGTTGATTTAATGGTTGGACTTGATGATCTTAAAGGTCTTTTCCATCCTAGCTGAGTCTATGATTCCAGGCAGGGCAAAAGAAGGGGTTACCACAGGGGTACCCTGCACCCACCTTGGGGACATCCCATGGCAAAGTCCAATGCACCCCTGCAGTGCCAAGGTGCCTGTTACACACCAATTCCTGCCCAACTGTGTGCACGTGAATGGTGATGGAAACACAGCCCTGCACTCCTACGCTACTGACACAGGTCACAGTTAGCCCAAAACCGTTACCAGGGAGAGCTGCTGCCCTGCAGGACTCTGCCTGCATCCTGAGTAGAGGTCAATTCATGTCCCTGCTCTGCCCACCACGCAGGCCAAGGCAGGAGCCATGACCCAGCACGGCCCCTTTGCTCTGTTATAAACAAGAGTGTGAAACGTGATTGAGCGGTGCGAGGCTATAAAGGGAAAGGCAGAATGAACTGGCTCCCTTGGGAAGCTGCTGGGAAGTTGCCTCTGTCACTGCGCACCGCCTCCTCTCCCGTGATTAAGGGGAAGCACAGTGTGTCCCAGGTGAGCAAGCCTGCTACACTGCTGACAACAAGATGCCTGCAGACGGCTTGCAGGGTATCCCGGGAAGAGGCTCACGCTCCAGGCTTTGGGCAAGGGATACGCACCGGGAACATCGGCGCTCCCCACGGCAGCGCATCTCTGCTGCCCAACTGCTCTGGCCTCTTTGGCTGCACAAAACCCCAACCTCTGATGGTGCATTGACAGATTGGGCTATGCTTGCAGGTTATTTTGCCAAACCTCAAACAAAAATAGCAGGGAGCAGAAGGCTTCATTCGTCCTTTGTGGTGCATCACACGCTGCACAGTGCAGAGCTTGCAGGACCGCTCTGTGTACTAGCACCACCCGGGTACCACTGCAGCAATGCCAAAGGACCCATGTGAAGGCAGGCATGTGCCTTTCACCAGCTCTGCCATCATCCAGCTCTGGCAGAGTGCTGTTAAAGGAAGTTATGCTCTTCACACCCACCCAGCACCAAGGCTTCCCTATGGCTGGACCGTCCCAGGGTGGCACAGGTCTCCCCACCCACATGCTTTCCCACCCATGTCCAAACCAGCTCTGCTGCCCCACACCACCCACAGCGCTGGCACCCGTTATTTATTTACCTTGGACATGCAGCGTGGTTTTAATGTTTCTAATCCAATTATAACCAAATTTATCAACAGAGTCCGCTGGAGTGAAAGGCTGCTGGCTGGGGAGATTCGCTTGTAATTACTTTCATGCTTTTAATTAATTGTAAGCGAGGTCTCCTTCCTCGCTCCCTGCTCCCCCCTCCGTGTGCAGCTGCTTCAACGTATAATTCATGAGATGAGTCAGAGCAGAAAGGAGGCTCTGGAAAGCAGGGATGCTCCTGGAGCCCCCCAGCCTGACAGCAACTGCAGGGGGGACAAATCCTGCCCTGATGGGATCAGACTTGCACAGTGCTGGGGACGCAAAGCAGCCACTGGGGCTGGGGCTGGCCACCAGCACCTGAGCAATTATAAAGACCTTGCAGCCCCCTTACTAGGACCAGCAGCCTTCTACAAGCTAAGGAGCATCAGCCTTATTCTGGAGTGTTTCCAAGAGGGGGAAACTGAGGCACAAACACACAAGTGCATGCGCAGCCTGAAAACATGCACCATGGGCCTTGCCCCGAGTGCCAGGGCCAGAGGCACCCTCTGCTCTGGGACGGGTGCTGTGGTGCTGGTGCTGTCGCTCACAGCAGTCATACCTCGGATGGAGCTGCCCCCGTTGTCCCCAGGAATCCAGGCCAGTGTGATGGATGACGCTGAGGTCTTGGACACGGTCAGGCGGGGCTGGTCCGGGGGCACTAGGGAGGAGGAAAAAGCCCATTAGCATCATGCATGCTGAAAGTGCCCTGTATTGTGCCCCGTAAAAGAGGAAACACCAACAGGAGCCTGGGACCGTGAGTGCCAACCCTGCAGTGTTTTACCCCACCAAGGGCAGTGGATGAGCCAGAGCACAGCTCATTGTGCTGTCTGGGAGATGGAGCGTGTCCCCTTGCTCCCAGATGCACCCATGGGACCATAGGCTCCCCCTCAGCCAGCGCCCCTCACCTTGGACCAGCAGGTTGATGATGATGGTGTCGAAGCCCCACGTGTTGGTGGCGGTGCAGGTGTAGTACCCCGAGTCCTCCGCTTTCACCGAGCGCAGCACCAGCGTGCCGTTGGTCTGGATGAGGCGATGGCCATCCACCGTCACCGGGATGGCAGAGTCCTCGCTGCCGGCAGAGGAGAGGGCACATCAGCCACGCACAGCACAGCAAGGCTGACAGCCCCCGGGCCGTGACAGCACCCTCGGTACCTGTCCTTGGTCCACTTGATGGCAGGGACCGGCTCCCCAACAGAGTTGCATGGCAGCCTCACATCCTTCATCCATGGGGTGGTGACGGTGCCTCCAAAGGAGATGATCTTGGCAGGGGCTTGGGGGCAAGGAGGAGGTCAGCATGGTGGGCAGGCCCCATGCATGGACCCCCCTCACTGTTAACCAGACCTGAGACTGCCCAGGCACGAATGATCCCAGGCTGTCCCCTGCTGCAGCCAAAGCAACCCTATGGACAGGGCTCAGTGGAGCCAGGGTGCGTGTCCCCCCAGGTACCTTTCCCAGCAGGCTCGATGGTGACCTTCTCGCTGATGTTGCCGCGGCCGGCGGAGGTGACGGCAGCCACCCAGAGCATGTACTGCTGCCCGCGGTTCAGGTGCGCAATGCGGTAGAAGAGCTGGTCAGGGCTGGTCTCGTACTCGCTGGGGGCCTGTGGAGAGGGATACAGGAGAAGGTACAGCCTCTGGGGGACCCTCACCTCATCACCCTCAACTCGGGCACCCCAGGAGCATCAGCAGGAGTCAATGCAGGCCAGTGCAGTGCTTGAGGTATCAGCAAGGAAAAGCTGCCTGGGGGCCAGCTGCCTGCACCGGGGCAGCCCCAGGATCCCCAACCAGGGTGTCCTCATCCCATCAAGGTGCTGCGGGTTTGCTCCCAGGCAGCGGTCTGGCTCTGCCTGGGTTCCTCAGTGTACACCGGCCAGTGTTGTGATGTCTCCAGGGAGCCCGAGGATCAGATGGCTTGGTTTGGCTGGCACAGCTTGTTCCTGGGTAAGGACGCACCCCTGGCTACCCACCGAGCTGCAGCGGGAGCCGGGCACCAAGGCAAACCCTGGCCAGGCTGCCAAAACCCCTCTGTGGTCGCAGTGAGCAGCCAAAACCCTGCATGGGCTCACCTCTTGCATGGCCCTCAGTGGCTGTCCCAACCCCATGGTGGTACTACATGGATACAGAGGCTGTGCACAAGCACCATGACCAATCTCCATCCCATCAGGGTCAAAACCGTTCTGCCCCAAGCCCAGCCCTGCTCCACCACACTGGCACCAAGCAAGGGCTGTGTTGCTCCCCTTTGCATGGGATGGATGCCACATGGGTATTTGTGCATTCACCATCCTCAAACGCGTGCCCTTGCGGGGCCCACAGATGTAAAAGCACCCCACAAGCAGACACCCGTGTGAAAACTAGATATGATACATCAGTTTTTTTACCCAAATGACAGTTTTGACAAGATGCCAAGAAAACAATATCGGATCCCAGCGGTTTTACCAGTTGCTTTGATGAAAAGATTATGTTGCCCTGGAAACCAGAGGCTCACATAGTGAAATGAGTTTGAGAAAGAGCTTTTGATAAGCACTAGTCTGCAGACCTCCCATCAACCTCTCCCTCTTCATGGAGTGATGGGGCCAGGTTTCACTTGTTTCATTTTCAGTCAGCTGCTGGCACATTTCCCCTTCTGAGGAGGGTAGATGCCAGAGAAAGGGAGCAGACAATGGGACCATGCCTTGATGCAGTGTCCACTGGTGCAGCTCTGCACTGCATGTGCCCAAGGTGCCTTTGCTGCTGCTGCTGCCTAGCATCAGCCCCCCCTCCCATTCCTGCTTGGCCAGCTCTGGCACACCCTGGTGATTCCCCATCCCCATCCCCATCCCGTACCGGCTGCCCGGAGCCGGGGCTGGAACAGAAGATGGTGTACTTCCGAATGATGCCATTGGGCTTGGCTGGTGGCAGCCAGGACACCACCACACTGCTGGCAGAGGATGGGACAGCCTTGATGCCGGCCGGGGGACCTGGAACTGGAGAAGGGAGGAATGAGGCAGAGCCGGTGCTAGGAGGTCTCTGAGGTCTCTGCAGCCCAGGCTCTGGTTTATAAACGTGATTGGCTTTTAATGGCATCTCCTGAATCTGCCTGAGTGGCTCAGCCGTACCCTGCTTGCTGTGTTCCTGCAGCATCTGGCTCCTTCCAGGACACCACAGCAGCCTGTGGGCCCAGGAAATGCTCTGCTACCGAGCTAATGGCATTAAAGTAGGGCAGGCAGGGGTGTAAATATTTAACTACCCACGCTTAGGGGAAAGGAAACAAAAGGGAAAGGGAAATGCCCTGCCCATGGCTGTGCACACGGGTTTCCTCTGGGATCCCTCAGCATCCCAGCCTTTCCTTTGTGGGTACAGCACTGTGGCACGAGCAAGTGCTCCCATCCCCTGGCATCGGCATGCTGCAGCCCCAAGTGATGCCAGCAGGAGCCAAGCGGGCTGGGGGCAGCACCACTTACTGTCTTCCTTGGTCTGGATGTAGAGCACGCTGCTGCGGACGCCGTCGCCAGCCTGGGTGTACGCCAGCACCTGCACGCTGTAGTTGGTGAACTTCTCCATGCCCCGCAGCTCCACGCGCTCCCGCGTGGTCGTGATGTTTTGCATCTCACCCCACTCTGCGGGGACACAGGTCCCGTCAGCCCCGTGCCACCACCCGCCCGCGTCCCCCCCACCGCCCAGCGCTCACCTCCATCCATGTAGAGGGACCAGAAGATGACCCGGTATCCCTTGAGCACCCCGTTGAGGGTGCTGCGTGGCGGCTCCGACCAGGAGATCACGGCCACATCCGATGTGATGGAGATGGCCCGCACGTTCTCGGGAGGCTGGCTGGGAACTGAGGAGGGGATGAACGGGGAGGACATGGTCTGATGTAAAGCATCCTTGCCCATAGCAAGGAGGCTGGAACTGGATGATCTTAAGGTCCTTTCCAACCCAAACCATCCTATAGTTCTATGGCAATCAGAAGGGAGGCATGTGCCTGGCAGATGCTGTGCTGAAGGAGCTGTGTCCCACGGGTCAGCCACCCCAACTGCACCCCATCATGCTGCTGCTCCCCCCCTTCCCCAGCTGCTCGAGCCCCTGCCCAGTACACTGTGCACTATGTGTTTGTTTGCCTCCAATGCACTGTTTCACTCCTCCTGGACCACCGAGGTGGGTGCAAGCCTTGTGCTCATAGGGCCAGGGAAGCTGCCGGGACACAATGTGCTTCCCAGCGAGGAGAGAGTGGGATTGCTGGCTGGATGCGAGGTAATTAGCTCCCATTGCCCCCTAAGAGGTAACTTTAATTTTTATGAGCATTTAAATGATAATACATCACCGTAACGATCCGCTTTGAAAATGGTTATTGTTTCATATTACTTAGGTGCAAAAATATAAGCACCATGTAATTAGGGACAGAGTATAATAAACTAATACAGATCGTCCTTTTGAACAAAATGAAGGTAATATAATTACGGAAAAGACACTATTGCTAAAACAGGGGCCCTTGAATACCCCAGGAGGAGTGCTAATGCAGCCAGGAAATGATCATGGTTTGACAGGCTAACGAGAGCCTTAATTAAGTATGAAAAACTGTGGAGCAAATGCACCACAAAACTTTTTCCTCCTTGTTTTTAAAAGGGCTGAGGCCTTCAGCGATCCTCCCCCGACAGAAACCTCCCTGGCACTGTGGCAGCGTCCAAATCCACCTTGAAATCCTGATGGCACCAGAAACCTGGTGCTGAGGGTGTCCCGGCACCCCCAGGGAGCATGCACACACATGCAGTCAGCCCAGAGCTGAACGCTGCTGGTGGGCAACAACCTGCTTAGGACAGGGCAGGGAGGCCCCAAGGTGGGATTTGGTACGGGGAGCAGGGAAACCACCTGGAGCAGGGATGGATGGATGGATGGATGGATGGATGGATGGATGGATGGATGGATGGATGGATGGAGGGAGGGAGGGAGGGAGGGAGGGAGGGAGCCTTACCGTCCTCCAGCGTGGTGGCATTGATCTCGCTGGACGACGGCCCCGTCCCAGCGCGGTTGAACGCCTGCACCACCACCCCGTACTGCGCGAACTTCTTCAGGTTGTCCAGCGTGTAGACCTCGCTGTCGCCCGTGGCCTTCATCTCCACAATGCTGTACTGCCCGTTGCTGCCCGGGCTGTTCTCCCGGTAGCCGATCTGGTAGCCGCGGATCACCCCGTTCTGCAGCTCCTTCTTCGGCGCCTAAAGGGTGCAAGGGGCAGCGGTGTCAGGCAGGGTTCCCCTGCCCCAGCCACCTCTGCCCAGCAGCTTTACCCAATGCTCTCAGGCTTTCTCTCCCCACACAGCTCTCGGCTGCACATGCTTAGTGACAGAGCAGTGATAACAAAGGTCCAGCTTCCTTGGAAGAGAGGAAAGTGATGTGCACCTCCAGCACCATTCCCTGACTGCAGTAGCTCAATGGGAAGAGGAAAAAGCCCTCACGTCTAACAGCCTTAAAAATGTGCAAGGCCAGGTTGAGATCGATCTTAACAATATTTCTCCAAAGCATTAAGAAATCAATAGGGGTGATTGCAATTTGATGTCACAAAGCCAGGAAGATCCATCTTGCTGAAATACTCTTCAACCGAAGTGACTTATCTTTCAAGTGAACTTTATCTTTCCATTAATCTGTTTTTCAGTGCTGAAGGGGAGGGGGGGAGAAGCTGGAACCCCAAATTTATTGACTTCCCGGTTCGTTACGAAGTCCTAACTTTATAATCAATTTTATTTTTCATTAGGCAGCTTTGGAAAAATAAATCCAATTCTAAGTTTTATTGATCTCTGCTCCAACACTTCTCAACCCCATGTCTGGCCTTTGACATATTTACCCTTGCTCCCCGATGGACAGCCTATGAGATAACGAGCTTGTTATATATTGTGATGAATAAAGGCCCTGTGCAACGAGCCGAGCTCACACCCAGCCTCCAGGTTTTCATTTCATTGTACCACTGACACAAGGCCAGCTCCCAGCACAAGCCACCACTGCAGAGGCTCAGGATGGCATCTGCTGCTGCCCAAGTGCCCACGCCCAGGGATAGCCCATGCACCACCCCAGCCCTGCTCACCTTCCAGGTAACTTGGATGCTCTGGGATGTCATCGGCTGCAAGGTGACATCCATTGGAGGCCCATCAGGAGCTGTGGAGAGACAGACCAAGGGAGCACGTTGAGCAGCATCAGGGAAAGGACCTTCTCATCAGGAAAGACTGGCTCCTGGAGAGCTGTGCCACAGCCAGATTCACCATACAACCCTGCCCGCCAGCCGCTGGGCCCCTGCTGGGAGCGGTACCTGCTTCCTCCGTGCTGATGGTGAGCTCCTTGCTCGGCTCGCTGCGCCCGATCTTGTTGAAGGAGTACATGCGGATGCTGTACACGGAGGCCGGGTGCAGGTCCACGATGTTCGCCTGGTTGATGGTCGGGGAGATGTTGCGCGTAGACTGCTTGAATTCCCAGGAATCTGGCAAAGCGAGGCGGGAGGATCAGCATCGGCATCCCACCCTGGGGTCCGCAGCACCGAGAGAGCCATGCTCAGGTAGGTGAAGGCCCCAAGCACCTCCAGCTTTCATCTCCAGCCTCCACGGAGAGGTGCTGCTTCCCCCTCCTCGCTGTTGTGCAGGCTGGGGCTGGCTCTTGCAAATATTGTCTCTTTTAATATTCCCTTTCAAATGCTCCCATCCAACAGAAATTAACATATTTCATTAATGCCGCTCTCTCCTTTCTTCATCAAAGGCACTGGGATGCAGACTATTCCCCCGGAGGTCCCAGGACACAGCGGCCGCAGCGCAGCCCCACGGGGAAGGGAGGAGAGGGGAGGGTGGCCGTCACCTACCTGACTTGTTCTTGTACTCGATATCGAAGCCGGTGATGATGCTGTTGCCATCAAACCGCTGTGTCCATCGCAGGTTCATGCTGCGGGCCTTCACCTCGCGGATCTCCAGCTCTGGTGGGTCAGGGGGCTCTTGGGGACACAGGGGCAGGTGAGGGGTGGCAGGGAGAAAAGCCTCCAGGATCAGGGGATGCCCACAGAGAGGCTTTGCACCCAGGGGCTAGCACATAGAGGAATGAGTACCTTGGACGGTGAGCTGGATCAAGCCTCTGTCCTCGCCATAGGAGTTGATGGCATGACAGGAGAAGAAGACCGAGTCCCCACGGTCAGCTGGCTTCAGCTGTGAAGGTTTCAGGGAGAGGAGAGGAGCCAGTTCAGGCTGAGCTGCCCTGAACACCATGCCCCTGCCTTCCCCCAGTGCCGCAGCCTGCTCCCAGCCCTGCAGGACCTGTGCCCATGGAAGCAGGTCACCCTCCAAACCTCCCATCCCCTGGCTCAGACCCATGCAAGGCACCAGGCAGCCCAGGCGGGTGCGGGACCCAAGCCCTCACCTTGAGGGTGGAGATGACCTCGTCGCCGTTGTCCTTGGTGGTGATGGCGTAGCGCATGTTGCGGTCGGGGTCGATGACGGTGTCGCCCTTCTCCCAGCGGATGATGATGGGCCGCTCGCCCCGCGCCGTGCAGTTGAGCTCCTTGGTCTGCCCCTTGATGGCGATGGTGGTGTTGGGGTGGGAGGTGATCATGGCCGGGACTGCGGGGAGGTAGGGTGTCACCGGGGGGACACTGTGGCTGCCCAGTCCCAGCACAGAGCCCAGTGGGGTGGATGCGGGTCTCAGCAGGAGGCCACGCAGCCCGGAGCGGAACCGTCTCGCTGCATTATACAGCTCAGCATCATAAAATAATGAAGCAGATAAATTTTATAATGCATAGCATTACACCGGGGTAGACAATAAAACGTGAAAGACAAATAACCAAGCGCGCACCATAATGAAGAGAAAGCCTCCAGTCTGAGACGTGCGGGTATGAATTATTGACTAAGGTTTTACACTCCCGAGGATGAGAGGAAGAATGTTTTCCATCACGGATTTGCATAATTCACTCATATAAACCTGGGCAGAATATAGAGTGCCATTTCACATCAGCAAGGCCGCCTTTGCACTGCAGATACCACTGATATTTTTTTACCCATAGCCACCCCAATACACAAACGAGGATGACGGGGACCCCCACACCACGCTCACCGCCCGACGGGCTGCAGCACCCCGCGTGGCTGCATCCCATGGCTGCCCAAGCAGCATGGTCAGGAATGGCCCTTGGTGCTGCCAAGCACCCACAGCCCTGGCATGAAGCTGCCTCCTCCTGTCCCCGTGTGCTGCAGCAGCACTTCTTGCTGTGAGGGGTGGCTGTAACTTCCCCACAGGCTCACTGCTCCTAAGCCAAGCCCTGGTGCTGCCCCTGTGCCATGCAGTGGGACACCGCTGGTGTGCACCATGCAGGGGCCATGGGCTGGGGGGCCAGGGCAGCCTGGGTAAGCAGGGAAAAATGTAATGCATAAACAAACAGCGCTGCTGAGTCCCGCAGTAATATATGGTAATGACGATCCGCAGAGGCAACACACACTGGTATAATGGGACACAAGAGGCTCTAATGAGCTACGACTTCTCGGCTTTCTGTGGCAATGTAATTCAATTAACAGCTAAGGAAACCTTTCCTCCCCAGCTGCTGGTGTTTGTGGGGTGCAGGGCAGGCACCCACATGGCTGGGACAGGGTGATGCCCGGTGTGGTGCCCGTTGGCAGTGCCCCATAGCAACCCTGCCCCAAGGGCCTGCGAGCAAAGAGTAGGGATGCTGGGGCAGTGCTCGGACACACAGTGCAGGGCATGGCAAACCAAGGGCTACAAGGAACAGAGCAAGGCTTCTCCTGGCTCTGCTCCATCCTGTCCTAAGCTGCACACCCTCTTCCCTCAGCCCCAAGCGGCTCTGCCTGCCTGCAGCCCGATGCCAGGGCTGTGCCAGGGAGAGGGGCACTGTTCCCCTGCATGCAGCCTTCCTCTAGCCCAAGCTGAGGCCAGTGCAGTGCAGAGGGCGTGCATGGCCACAGGGGCCAAAGGGGCAGGACAGAGCTGCAGCAGCCGTGGAGGCACCAGCCCCTTCCCAGTGAGCAGCAGCCTCAGGAGAGGAGCTCTGTTTCAGGCTGTGCTTCGCTGAAATGCATTTATTGATGTTTGATTACAAGCAGCTCCTTGGATGCAAACATATCAACCTCCCTCAATTGCCGTGGTCCCAGGAGAGTGGCACGCAGTCCAGAGCAGGGGAAGGAGAAGAACAAGCCATAAGAAAACTCCAATCAGCCACACAGACAGCGCAGAGGCAGCACCTCTTGCACTCCGGTACTGGACACGTGCCCTAGAGCAGCAATGCTGCTCACAGAGGGACGGCATCACTTGGGACTGACCACAGGACCCTCCGAGGGCTGCACCTCTGGGTGCAGCGACATCAGTAATGCTGGTCCCTGGCTGTCAGAGCCAGGTCAGTGCTGCCATACAGACAGGCTTCCCTCGAGCAGAGCCTCCGATGCTTTCTGTCCTCCCCATGCCCCATGCCCAGCCCTTGCCACTGCCCTGCCGAGCATCGCTTCCTTGTTAACAAGGCCCTGACAAGAGGCTGGTCCTGCTTGCTGGGCAGAGATAAGCCTGGCTACAGAGAGAGTCACCAGCTCGCTCTGACACCCTGCATGGGGCTGGGGCTGCTCTGCAGCCCTGTGGTGACAACTGAATGAGAACAGTGACAAGGGTGACAAGGGCTGTGCCTCCCTCGCCCCCCTCTCTCTTGTTTGGAGCCGGCTCTGTGATGTTAACTTGATTGCGCCCATTTCAGCTTCCTTTCTACACTGATTAGCTGAGCTCCACCTGAAGCATGAGATTAATTCAAATTGCATGGAAGCAATCAGTTATGCTCTTGCTGTACGGCAGCACACCTCCAAATACGGCTGTGCCCATGACACGCAGGCAGCTGCCCTTCTTCCAGCACCCCAGCCAGACCCACTCACCCAGCACCACGGCACCAGGGAGGATGGATTAGAGGATCCCCCTCTCCAAGCATTGCCACCACCCCGGCAGCGCTGCACAACCGGGATGTGACCCTGTCCAGCCCACATGCTCTGCTCTCAACACCCGGGGAGGCATGCAGCCATGTGCTAAATGGCATTTAGCACGCACCAGTGCTCTCCTCACCTGCGCCCCGTGTTCGCCCAGGTTCACGTTCCCATCCTCCAGCATTCACCACCTTACAGACTCTGATGATCCCAGACATGAGCCTGAGTGTGTTACCCAGGGAACCCCCATGGGCTGGACCAAAGCAAGTGCTTCGGGCTGGGGCACCAACAGTTACGCTCCTGGAGCGGTACGAAGCTGGGCACCTTTCCTTGCCCATCACCTGATGGTGCAGCTGCCAGTACTCTGCAAGGACTGCACTCACTTGTCTGAAGCATGACCCGGGTGCCTCGGCTTGCCCCTCGCAGCCCATCGCTGTGGTATCGGGCAGGGGATGTGCAGATGGGGGCTGGCTGCCCTCCTCTCTCCTGCTGACCACCAGCACCCGTCGTTGGGTTCTGATTCACTCCCATTTAACTCTGTCCGCAGTGGCCTGGCTTCCCAGGAAAGGCAGTGCTGAGATCGCTTTAATTGGCCTGACATTTCACTAAACAAACAAAAATCCCACACCGAAACAAACCAAAGAGCCCCATATAATGCTTAATTGGCTGTGGCGCTTTGTCTACCTATTCATCCAACCCTGTTCAAAGGCGGCGAGGGCTCCAGGAAATGGAAAAGCACATGCATAATAAGGTTACGTGCTATTCAAGTCAGCAAGCAACCTGTCCTGGGATGCAATTACAGCGGATAGCAGGGACAAGGCAACAGTTCAGGCTCGAGACTTCTGCGCGCTCGCTCGGGATTCATCGCCTCGACTTTGTACCTGCGCCTCATTGAAGTGCCTTGTTTGAAGTGCCTCGGTTTGATTCATCAGTCGGCGGGATAAATTACACAGCGGATGGGGAGGGGAGCAGACACCGGGGGAAGCAAGAGGGGACAGGCACAGAACACAGCACTTGGCTCCACTCTGGAGACGCACAGGAGCTGCCCAAGAGCAAGCGTGATAGGCTGGTCCTCCCTCCATCACCTCCTCTCTGAGGTCTGAATGCTCACAGCACCAACAACCCAAATAAACAGAGAGGAGCTGGAGATTATGCATTCCTCTGGTAGCAGCAGGAGAGGAATCCAATAATAAGCGCAGCTTAAACATGGTGTCTAGCAACACTTGCCAGCCCATCCCTGTCACAGTAGCTCAGCTATTTCCTTTCCTTCTGGATGATGTAGATTGATTGCTCGGTTTTATTAAAGACAAAGTGTGTTTAATGCTGAAAGGGAAGCAGGTCCCTGGAGGAGCAGAATCAATGCCCTCCCCTGGCCGCACATCGATCGCGGGGATGCGCGGACTGAGGCCAGAGCCAGGCTGGTGCAGCAGGAACCTTTGGCAGGGCTCTGCTCACAAACACCCACCCCACAGCCACAGCCACCTTCACCGGCACAGCCCTGGCTACTTACTCTTCACGGTGAGAAACATGGACTTGCTGATGTCCGTGCCCACGCCGTTGCTGGCCTGGCAGAGGTAGTAGCCGATGTCCTCCTCCAGCACGTGGCGGATGAGCAGGGAGCTGTTGGGCAGGATCTGGATGCGGCCCGTGAGGGGTATGGGGTGGTACTGCTGGGGGTTGCCGCTTCCTAGGAGGGGACACAGAGCACCAGTGAGGCACCGTGCCGAGCGGTGCCGTCCCCACCCTCGCTACCGTGTCTCCCCCTTACCTTTCGCGTGTTTCCACATGACTTTCGGAGGGGGGTAACCATCAACGGAGCAATTCAGCACCCCAGCTTTTCCGTAAATGCCATCTTGGTTGTTGGGTTGCACCACAAACCGAGGAGGCACTAATTGGAGAGAAAAGACGGTCACTGTAGTGAGAAACCCATCAGTGCCGTGCAATTCCTCCTTGCTTGCGGGCACACGGGTGCCCTGGCTCAGCCCTGCTCCTCGCCCTCCTCGCCTGCTGCTGTGCCTTTTCTACAACCAGAGAACAGCGTTCTCTCCTTCTACCCTTATTACTTATCTCTGCTCCCTACCCCTTGCTGTCCACCCTCCACGGCAGCAGTATCAGGACCAGGCTGGATGTGCCCCATGGCACTCACCCCGCACGATGAGCTGCCGCTCCCGGCTGACCGTGGCAGCGTCATTGCTGGCGATGCAGGTGTAGTTGCCATTGTGCTTGAGGGACACGCTGGAGATCTGCAGGGAGCTCATGAACTCCTTGCTCTCGATGGTGACGCCGGAGCCGGAGAGGATGACGTGCCCGTCCTTCCTCCAGGTGATGTGGATGGGCATGTCCCCGGAGGACACCACGCAGGGGATGTAGAGGAGCTGCCCGATGGAGGCTGGAGGGAACTCGAAGGGCTGGATCAGAGGCGGGACTGTTGAAGGGAGAGGCAGGGCACACTGCAGAGCCCATGCAGGGATGGGCTGCAGTGAGGCTTGGGGGAGATGCTGCCCAGAAATGAAGGCAGAGAACAGCAGAAGGCCTCTCCCACCGTGCTAAGAGCAGGATGGAGAAACAGCGACCTGCAGAGCAGAGCAGGCCCTGCTCCAGGGAAGCCCCGGCCACCCCCCTGCGCGTGCCGGCTGAAATTCCGCCTCAGCATTTATCTGCTTGCAGAAAAAGCACTCATTAGATGGATGCTCTTCTTAAAGGCACCGGATTCAGAACCAGCCATTATCTTTCTGATAACTTAATTAGGCAACCGCAGCATCTCTGGCAATGTGGGAGGGGGAAGAAAGCGGAGAGAGGGAGACAATTAGCTCAGCACCTGGAAGATGAGATCCTCTTTCCGCAGTCTCCCTAATTAAATTAGCAGGCTGCCAATTGTCCCTTCAGCAGACACGAGCTGCCCTCTTGTACAGGCTGAGCAGCAGCTCCCTGCCCAGCCCTGGGCTCCCATCTCCACCCCATGCCCAGCCCAGCACATCGCAAAGGTCTCCGCTCCAGGGCTCTGCCTGGCCCCACACTGACCAGGTAGCTCCTGTGCCTTCTCCAGCTACAGCAGCGTGGCTCAAGCTGCTGGAGACATGGAGCCAGAGCCGCCTGTTTTCCATAATTAATGAATAATTAATTGGGAATGCACTGCAGTCTATTGCAGAGTGGGGATGGGCTTGAGGATCCACGCCCCTTCAAACACGCCCCACCAGCTGCGTTCCAGCCACCAGGAAAAGGACAGGCTCCCTCAACAGAAGAGCTGTCCCTGCTCAAGCTCCCCACAACCGGAGCTTGCAACTCCCCTTCCCAGTTCGTTTCCATTGCGACTCTTTCTCCAGTGCTTCCAGGCTCTCGTGTGCCTGCAGCAGGAGCTGGCTGCACGTCCATACCCCAGGACAACGCACGAGGGTCTTCCAGCCCAGCCAGCCACAGCGGCTCTGGAGGGGAACCCCAGCAAACAGCATCACCCCAACGGTGCCCCAGCACTGCTGGCTGCAGAGCACGGCTGCTGTCAGCACTGTGGTCCCCAGATTGCCAGTCACCCAAGCAGGGCAGCATCTAAACCAGGGCATGAGTGTCCCTCGGTGCAAGGCCGGGGGCTGCTGTATACCCCCAGTCCCTGGGGAGCAGCACTGGAGGGGAGCTGTAGAGCTTTTACTACCACATGCTCGGAAAGACCTGCATAACTCACTCGTGGCAGTTAATGTGGTCGCAGGCACTTGTGGCAATAAAAGCTTTACAGCGCTCCACGCCACCCTGTGCTCCTAGTGCTGTGCAGTTACATTTATTCACTCGGCTCTGACTCTCTTCTAGGGCTTTGCAATTCTTTTCCACAGGCCTTTTACCTGCTGACTGGAGCAGTCAAGGAATGGAGCAAGCGGGGCCATGGAATATCTTGGGCAGCCATGGAATGAAGACCTATAGAGCCTCTCTCCACACCAGCCCTGCCTGTCCCATACTCCCCAGAAGATCAGTATTCACACAGCTCTGGCCTCTTTTCAAGCCCTGAGGCTCCCACGTAGGAAGGGACTTTATATTAAGTGAGGAAAGCAGGGCTGGCTGTCCCCTGCACTGCAGACCCAAGGGGAGAGAAGTCCTCCCCACACTGCCTTAGGTTACCAGCAGCCTACTCTTCCCTTTGCAAAGCCTCGGAGAAGAGCATTAGCTAATCAAGGGGTAGCATCTATAATCAGCTTGATGCACTCTCTTGCTAACCTGATTCTTAATAAGAAAATGGTGGATGGGAGGGGAAGGAGGGGGATCAGAGCAAAATCCAGTCCATGAATGCCCTGCTGGGTGAGACAGAGAAAGACAATTGGCCAGCTCCGGCCCCAGCGCGGCTCTGTTTGTCTGAATGATTTACTGCGAACACCGTGCTGGTGACGGGCAGGGCCGACCCGACAACTCTGAGCACGGGAGATACGGAGCTCAGCACAATCTCAGCGAGTCACTGGCAGGGAACGCATCCGGCTCAATTCATTAGGACTGATAGCTCCCTCAATGGGACTGAATAATTGATGGCCTGGAGAAGCTTTTAAGATGTTCTGTGCGCTCGGAAGACCAAGAGTATTATATTTTAAAAAGCTAACACACACAGAAAAACATGGGTGAAGGTGATCCAAGCAAAGGTTAGATGTTTTAATACTCTGTGTTTACACCGTAAATCCTTGCTCCATTGCTTGTAGTGGGAAATGGATACAGCATGGCTCAGGGAAGCTGCCAGCACGAGCAGCTCCAGGTACCCGCTCTGCAGGAGCTGAGCCAGCTCCCCAGGGATGCTGCAGTGGAGCTGAGCTCCCATCGGTGCAGTGCCTGCAGGGCACAGCCACTGCATAACCACGGAGTCCCCTGTGCGATGTTCTCTGCCTCCATCTCATTGCAGAGATGTCCCCAGCACAACTTGGTTGGCCTCTCCATCTGACCCAGGGAAAGCCTCTCCAGCAGCTTACCTTTCACTGTGACATGGACGCTCTGGCTGATGGAGAGCTGGGGCTGGATCAGCACGCTGCACAGATACTCTCCTTCATCCATGCCTTTCTGGACGTCCATCAGCTTTAGAGTCCCGTTTTCAAAGACCACTTGGCGGTGGTTATCGGGCAGCAGCAGAGAGTCCTTGTACCACTTGATGGAGTAATACGGGTACCCGATCACCCTGCAGTTGATGAAAGTGTCCCTACCCGCTACCGCTGTTATGTTCTTCATCGCTCGGATGCTCGGGGGACCTACATATTGGGGAGGAAGGAAGAGGCAGGCTAGGTTAATTCCGAAGGGCGGTTTGGTTGCATGTAGAGCTGCTGCTATTTCAGATGAGCCTCACGGGCAAAGGAGGTAACCAGAACGGTTGGGACCCATCCTGGTTTTGGGTGAGGAGCAGGCATAGGCTCCTCCCTGAGCACGCTCATCAGCTAAATGTGATAGCTATCACACATGCCTACAGCAGCGCTGCTCTGGATGGTGGCTGTGGTCCTCTACCAGTTCCTTTAAGCAGTGCCTTCAGCCACAGGGACTGCAGAGGGCTGGGGAGCACTCCCCCCCATCTGCAGCCACACTCTGCCTCGCTTGGAAGGAAGCTGCCCGCTTGTGCCAAACATCCTTGACAAGAGCTGCTCCGGGAGCCTGGCTTCCATTGGGAATGTATTTTACCTCCCCTAAAACACACCCCTCTCAGCCTCCCACTGGCGAGCTGAGTGTGGCTGAAAAGCCAGACAGTCACCACGTTCTGGCTGGCTCCCATGCTGGCAGGATGCTGCAGGTGAGTAATTTCAACAAGAGGTTTCATGCATCAATAATTACATTGTTCTCCCAGCCACTGCATAAAACAGCAGACTAATCTAAAGCTTAACCCTATCTTGACTCCTCGTCCTAAGGGCAGAGCAGGATAACGGCTTAACAGACACTCAGGATAAGCCAATGGATGGTGGTTCTCATGCTGGGACGTGTTAAGAAAATGAGCAGGAAAAAAGAAATTAGCATCTGGTTCTGTAACTGTCTCCGGGGCCTGTCTGAGGGACTTGCTCCATTCCGGGGCAAAAAAAACCTGAATCTTATCTAGTGACAGCCCATCAAGAGCTGGGAGAGGAGCAAGGGAGACAAGGCAACGTCCTCATTGAAAAGGCTGCTCTGGCTTCTCACTGCTGAGGGATGAACTCGCTCCAAATTTAGCAGTAAACGGCAGCAAAATCCCGACTCTCCTGGGATCCCAGCCAGAAAATCACCAGATCCATTGCAAACGTGAGACCCAGCAAACCCAGCCCTTCACCCCTCCGGAGACAAATAAACACTGCCTTGCCTCTGTCTCACTCCCACCTGTAAGCTTGGAAGCTTTAATTGGTGTTTATGAATGGGCAGGGGCTTATACCAAACCCCGTGCCTAAACACACGTCCCTGTAACACACCGAGCAACACGCTCCAGCCGTAATAACACGGTGATTAACGTGGCCATGGCTTTTAGCAGACAAAGAAAACACAGACATGACAAATCAAAGCTCATTTTCCACGATTTCATGTGCTGCCTCATCATCGTTTTGTCATGTAGATCCCTGCGCCGGCAGGCACGCTCCCTGCCAGGGAGCCAGCCATGGGAGAGCATGGGATGCTTCTGTGCTCACCGTGGCCTTCTCCATGCACAGGGCTCCTTGGGGAGGTGTTGAACAACCCCTTGGCAGGACCTCCATGGGGACAGAGTGGACCCCAATGGGGAGAACGCTGCCTTTTTCCCCCTGCAAAGCCAAGCTCTGGTTTTCCAAAGTCACCAAGTGCTGTGCACTTAAATTCCTGGTTTTAAACGTCAGGGAAGCTCAACGCTGTGGGCAGGCGTGTGAGCAAGTGGGGAATCAGGGAATGGGATCAGGGCAGCCAGGGAGACCCCTGCAGCTGGGAAGAGGATGGAGAGGTGAGGAAGAGCCATCGGCTAGGAAACAGAACACAACCAAAAGCCCAGTACAAGTCCTATTCTGATATTTAAAAGTAGACAGGCACCTCTTACGTTTATTCGCGCTTGGTATTCGGCGCTGCCCACCGAGTTCCGCGCGGTGCACCGGTACACGCCGCCGTCCTTGATCTGCGGGCTCGTCACGTTCATGTGGCTGACCGTGGTGCCGTCCGACATGGTGTACTGGTTGGTGCGGTGCCCGCTGTCCCGCGGGATGGGCTCGTCGTCCAGTGCCCAGGTCACGGTCGGCGGCGGGGCCCCCTTGGCGGCGCACATCAGGGAGAACTGCTCCCCCGGGTTGACCACCTTCTCGCTGAAGGAGGAGACGATGCGGGGGGTCCCATCTGGGGGGCACCCAGCGGGACGGGGGTCAGGGAGCGGCAGGCACCGGCAGCAGAGTCACCCGGCTTTGAGCTCCCGCCTGGAGAGGAGCCCTGCATCCCTGCCAAGCATCCCTGCGGCAGGGAGATGCTGAGGGGCGCATCCCTGGTCCAGACACCCAGTGATGTGCATCGGAGAGGGGACACCTGCCTGGCCCAGGGGATGGGGATGGGCAAGTCAGCTCTTATTCTGGTCCTTCCCCATCCCCGCTGTGCTGCATCCCTAAGTTGCTTGCAGATGGCATGCACAGCCCAAGAAGCGTGGCAGTCTGGCCCCAGGATCCCCCACCCTTGTAGGTCTCACTGCACTCCAGCCATGCACAAAGCACCCTGCTGCACCTCGGGAATGTGGCAGCTTGGAGAGGGGCCAAGGAAAGCCCTCCCTAACGCCCCCCCACCCCGAGGAAGCCAGCTCACCCTCCAGCATGATGATGGAGAAGTCCTGTGCTGTCTGGGACTTGCGGGTGGCAAAGCACTGGTAGGCTCCAGAGTGGCTCTTCTGCGCAGCCGTGATGAGGAGGGTCTCATTGCTGATGCCCCGGATGGAGATGTAGTCATCCACCACCACGAGGTCCGTGTTGCGGTACCAGCGGATAACGTACTCGGGGGACCCGCTGAGGGCACAAGAGAGGATGACGGTGCTGCCGATGCCTGTTTTGAGCTTCTTTGGTGTGAGGGTCACACGCAGAGGGTCTGTGCGAGAAAGGGTGAGAGTGGTGATGGTGTCTCACCGTTCCTGTGCCTCTCTGCCTTTCCTGAACTGGAAGCACCAGCCTGACTACACGTAAAATGTCACTGCACACAGGCAGGCGGCCCCCCCACTGCCCCTGCTGCCGACAGCCCAGCTTTTAGTGTGAGCCCCAGGCCCCTGGCAGAGCAGGCCCTGGTGGGGAGGTGGCAGGGTGGCTGGAAGAGGACACGGTTTGTGTGGTGGGGACAACGTTGAGCTGGGGATGTGCCAGGGTGGCTCTCAGCGTGCTGTGCTCGTCACAGCGCCGCTCCAGGTAAGGCCCACACTTTGCATGCTGGTTCTGGCAGCTCTGGTACCACCAGGATCCCAGTGACAGGAGACAAGGAACAAAGCACGTGATGAATGCTTGGCCTGCCCAGATGGTGTTTACTGTTTGGCTGCAGCTTCTTTTATGTAAATCAACCAAACAAAGCGCAGAGGCACCTAATGTAAAACCAACATCACCAGCCAGCAATTTACATCCCCCAGCACTGCTCTGAATGTTCCCCGAGGCCCCTCGCCCTGCCCTGACTGAAGCACTAAATCAGGAGACGTCTGCAGTCCCGCTGCTGCAGCGTGATAAACCTCCTGCAAGTGCTCTCAGCACCACATCGCACACGTTGCATCGCTTCCAGCGTGCAATGCTGAAATACAAGGCTCGTAATTTCTGTGCCTGCGTAAAACCTTTAAGGCTTTATAAAGGTTTATGTTTAAGAAGGCCGAGGACGGGAGCCTCCCCGCCAGCTCTCACCTATGACCGTGAGGGTCCCCGTGACCTCTGCGGACCCAAAGGTGTTGGTCACCTCGCAGATGTAGGTCCCGCTGTCCTCCACGCGCAGGTCACTGATGCTCAGCCCTGTGATGCGCTTGGTCCAGCGGCTGTCGGTGGGCAGCGGGCGCCCGTCCTTGATCCACCGCACGGCCGGGTTGGGGTATCCTGAGGCGATGCAGGGCAGCTCCACCGGGCGGCCCGCCCTCACCTCCCGGGACTGGAAGCTGTCTAGCATCGTGGGGATGGACTCTGCCGGGTCTGGGTTGGAGAGGAAACAGGCTCACGTGGAGAAGAGGGACACAGCGACAGCAGGAAAGGCCCTGGCATGGTGACACCATCACCACCATGCCCCAGCTGTGAGAGCAGCTATCCCCATCCCCATCAGCCAATGGCTGTGCTGGGCAGGAGCGCAGGATGCCAGCCACATCGTCACTGGGCACAGGGTGGCCTGGGCAACCTGGGACATCCGGTGCATCCCTTGGGAGCCAGGGCTGGTGGGTGGGAAAAAGCGTCTGACTAGCTGATGGGGTGAATAAACTCAGCACCGGAGGAATTACTCAAGGTGACACCTAATTGGTGCAAAATACACAAATTCTGTGGCACATTTCAAAATGTACAAGCAAAGGGGCCCATCGGGCAGCTGGGAAAGGAGAAAATTAATCACCAAGTCTCAGGCGTGAAATTAAATTCCAGGGGAAAGAAACCTCTTTCATTACTCCCAAACAGAAGTGAAACGCTGTGACGTGTCAGTAATGACAGCGACCAGGAGGGGAATGGGACAGATCGAACATGCATGGGGAGGGGATGGTACATTCAGCGGCTGCATGGGCTCCTTGGAGCAGGCCACATGGGAGGGACACAGGATCCTCGGGTCTCTAAGAAGCATAGGGAAGGTCAGGGAAGCCCCAGCCCAGCCTGGACCCTTTCCCTACCCTCTATGGGGTTAATTCGAGGAGCTGATGTGGAAGCCACAGCCTGTGCACCCGAGGACAGTTAAAGCATATGGCAGGAAGCGGGCGCGCCGCAGCCGAGTGGCTGCGAGTCAGGCAAACTCCCTCCCGAGCGGAGTAATTTGGGCAGTGAGCGGAGCCGGGAGCGCCCCAGGATACCCGGCACTGGGGACTGCACTGCCTGCGCTGCAGTATCGCTTGCATGTTCGTCACATCGCGTCAGGCTGCTCACATCGCGGGCTGTCACATCGCATCGCATCGCACCCCGTCGCCTCTCGCTCCGGGTACTGCGCAGCGCGGCTGCGGCCAGCGCTGGGGGGTGCGTGCTCGGGGGTACATGTGAAACAGCACAAACCCCTTGTATAGCCTCAATGGGACCTCCTACCCCCGCACTGGGACGTCCTCTTGCTGCAGGGATGGGAGGTAGCGATGCCATCGCTCCCTCCTGCATCCAAGGAAGCCACGCACTCAGCGTGCGGGCAGGGAGCTGGCACACGGGCAAGGATGGACACCTTGAGCTGCATCAGGCCTGCAGGCAGGGCTCCCATCACCCGCAGCCACGTGCTCACCTGAGACCGAGAGCCTGGCTCCGTTGCTCTGCCGCGTCTCCCCACTGTATTTGTGCTTGGTGATACACCTGTAGGTGGACAAGGCATCTTCCTTCTGCACGTCCGATATGTACAAACCTCCATAAGAAGTAATAAAAAACCTATTTTCTGGAGACACAAAGGGAGGAGGAGGTGAGTGAGTGAGCCAGCTCTGACCCAGCACTTGCCATTGCAGCCTCATGTGCGCATCAGCCCCTGCTCATGGGCACAGTATTGTGCCCTCCAGCACTCATCCTGCAGCAAGTGCACCCAACCCAAGCACGCACCTCCTAGGGCTTGGATTCAGCAATGAGCTCTGGCCATGGAGCTGCAGCGGCACTGTGGCTGCAGAGGATGAGGAGGAGAGCGCGCAGCACGATGCTCCGGCAGCACGATGCTCCGCCACCACGCTGCATAGCAACGCCACAATTAAAAGTGAGTCTGTCCCGCTGAGTTAATAATTAGCTCAACTTACTTAGAAGCATGTGAAAACAAATAAGGGCTTCAGCTGGTATTTGAGCCCTGGGAGAAGGATGCAGGAGAGCAGGCAGGGCAGCACAGCCCCCTCCAGGCAGCAAGTTTTGGAGCCTGGTGCACGCCAAAGCACATGGGGAAAGAACCCTTGGATCTGCTCATGGAGCCAGCCTGACCCCTATAATCCATCATGAATAAGAGCAGTAATTAACACAAATGGAAAGAGCTGCACTGTGGCACAACAGAGCAGCTACACAGAGAGCAGGCTAGGCAGAGGGAGCGGAGAGAAGGTCCCCTGCCCCACTGCCAGTGCCAACAGTGACAGCAAGACTTCAAACCTGGCTTCTCCGGGGTTTCTTCCAGCACCAGCCTCCACTGAGCCTCAGCTGGGAGCGGAAGGTCCACTGACGGTTGCCAGCCAAACCATCCCATACCCAGCGCAGCAAATGCAGAGAGGCAGAAGTAGAGCAGAGATAAAACCTTTAAACCCAGCCTTTAAAGCAGTAATGGCTGCAAACAGCTCCTGCACCATGCCTGGCAAACCAGGATCTCCTTGATGAGGCCAGTCAATGCGCTTATCTTCTGGAAGGATGTTCATGGTTTAGGTGGAGTCAAACCCATCAGTGCAGGAGAAGCACGGGCACAATACAGGACTAGAGACACACGCTCCCAGAGGAGCCTAGCTGCAGGGAGAGGACCACAGCAGTCTCTCCCTGCGAGCACTTGAGGTGACAGACTGGCAGAAAACAGGGCTCTTCACCCAGGGAGCACATCCCCAGCACGAGCCAAGGCAGCGGCAGCCCTGAGCTCTGCTGGCACTACCCCGCTCCAGCTGCAGCTTAGCTTGATGTGTGTGCTTGACACTAATTGCTTGATACAAGAGTATTAGGGACTTGAAACAGCAAAGAAATGGCAACGTAGCCAGCTGCCGTTAGCAGGAGGCACAGGTTCTCCTTGGGAGCAGCAGGAATGCCGTGCTGTGGTGACCATCCCCACACCTCCCATAAGCTGCAATCTGCACACATCACGGTGCCTGCATCCCCAGCCCTGCTTGGAGGGGTCAGCCCCCCCCAAAACCTCAGGCACCGCTTTGCCTCCATGCTGCAGCACAAGGACAGCAGCACGCACACTGTGCCAGTATACAACTGGGAGCAGATGCTCCATGGTGCATCTTGTGCTCTGTGCCACCAGCCGGAGGCATCAAGGGACTGGTGAAAACCTCTGTAAGAGGAAAGGGGGCAGTGCCCTTGCAAGTGAACCGAGATAACATGCAAATCAAACATTAATGTTTCATCTCCCATCAAACCAGCAAGAGAAGAGCATTGGCATTTGGGGGAGCAGCTTGCCATGGCAGCAGGAGCCACATTTTGCAAAGTCCTCAGCAACCACAACTGGTCCCCATATAACCACACACAAGTCAGTGCATGGTTAACCACAGCCCTGCTCACAGACATGCTGTGCTCCCCCTCTGGAAACAAAGCCTTGCACAAGCTGGAATGATGTACAGGGAGCCAGAAACCATCGTGCTGCATCCCTGCCCCGGGACATGGGGCAGCAGCAGTCCATGAGAGCCGAACTCGCACACACACAGAGGCAAAGACAAGCAGAGCCTCAAGCTCCTGCCGGGATAGTAGGAGATGATGAGAAGGGCTGCACATGGAGGCAGTGCCGGATGGGAGTGCAAACTGAGCCCTTCCTGCACCTACTGACCCCAGAATCTGCAGGGTTTGCTACCCACCTCTCTACCATGGAGCAATAGGAGGCATTTAACCCCTTGCTAACTGTGGCTTTCAAGATGCAGGGCAATAACTGATGTAAAAGGCACTGACAGAGACCTCACCACAGTGCCTTAGTGCTGAGTTTGCCAGCGAGATTAACGCCAAAGGTCGCTGAATAAAATCAGATCTTTCTGCCTGCCAGGAGGAGGAAAAGCTTTACGGGAAGCAGAGGATTAAGTACACCCGTGGTCAGACGGGAGCGATGTGCCTCTAATAACTCTTCCAGCCAGACCTGAGCTGCTGCCTCTGGAAGCGCCTCACCAAAGCCCCTCTCATCCACCTTTGTACAGGAGGAGCCCCACCGGCCTCAGGAGCTTGCTCCTCAATCCGGGAGAAACACAAGGATATTGGGGGCTCTCCCACGTGGCAAACACCAGGAGGGTCACACAAACACACGCAGACACGTATTTGCTGTTACCAGAATCCTCTCCCATATCCCGTGGTGACTCCTGTCTTAGTCCCAGGGCCCCTCCAATTGCAGGAGGAAAGCTGCAGTCAATACAGGTTACAGCTGCTGCTCCATGCAGTATAGATTCACAAAGCCAACGGGGTCAGAGCTTCAGCAGAGAGCACATTTATAGTTCATAAGACTAACGAGAGAACTTTCTCTTGGTACTGAAGAATCAATAGGTGCCAGCATTTATGAATTAGCCATACTTGGAGTATATGCATCCCAAGGCATCCCAGACAAGTCCAATAACTGCTTGGTGCTATGCCTGTCCATGTTTGCAGTGACAAACGTCTCCTGGGGACTTGGCATGGAGGGGGAAGCCCTGACAAAGCCTGTGCTTTGCCGCTGCTGTAACAGCACTTTTCTGCTATGGCTGCTGTTCCGGGATGACATCTGCCTGGCATGGGGCTTCCCTGGGGACAAGGAACCCAAGATTAAAGATCCATCCATCCCAGAGATATTAAAGAGGATGCACAACTGCAGATTCAATCAGAGCTGCATGATACCCAGCAGATTGATGTCCATGTTTGCCTGCAGCGGGGATCCCAAGGGAGTGCACAGCGGTGGCTGCTCCCCAGCCCTGGCAGAGGCAGCACATCTCTCCTGCCTGGCAGAGCTGCTGCGCACCCAGCCGAGCATTCCCACCTCGAATTGCATGGGCACCCATAACACAATCAATGCCAGCCGAGCAAGTGGGTCAGGCTCTGTGCCAAAGGGCTCCTCTGTCCTCCTCCTCCTCCTCAACCCTTTACCTGTAGAAAGCACTGTGCCCCAGAAAACTCATCCCCACGACTGCAGTAGCTGCATCCAGAGAGGGCACAACACGGGCTGCTGCCTGTTCTCAGAGCCTGCCCATTGCCCTGTGGAGCTGCTGCCTGCTCCTGCGGGCACCAGAGGCTTGGCTGGGAGCATCCCCCTGCAGACCTGGAGATCCGGACATTAACACAAGCCCTTTCCCCAGTGCTGCGGCAGGAGCACGGGCAGGCACCCCGGCCACAGTCCTGCTGCCGCTGCGGAGCCAGAGCGGGGGGAGCAGCAGAGGAGGGGTGGAAATCAAGGAGCCGTGACCGGCTTTCCACCTCCCCTCCTTAATCTCCTTTATAAACACGGCTCCGTCTCCTCCCGTTACAGGATTAACACCCATCTCTCATTCTGCTCTCGCAACAAGATTCTGTTCCTAATTACGCTGTAATAAAACCGGGCGCGCTCCCAGGGCTTCTTCCAAATGACTTGTCGACACTCGGCGAGATTGGATCCTACCCGGGCCCGTTTCCGGCCCCTCTGCCTGACGTTCATTAGGCACGCATGAGGGAGAGGGTTTAAGAATGGAATTACATTTAAATGGCTTTTCTGAGAGGGAGAGAGGGACCAAACAGGAGAGAGAGAGACACGCAGGAAAGGTTTAAAGGGAGGATGTCGCTGTCACCTCCCTGGCACTCTGCTGCCCGGCAGCCACGGTGACAGGCCCCCACTCCTGGGCACCCCAGGGACAAGCCCCCTGCCCCTGCGGATCAGTGGGGCTCTGCAGCCAGCGCGCACCAGGGTGCACAACTCCCGGGCACTCTCCTCTCCCCACAGCACAGAGAGCCTGCAAGAGGACCAGGGGCATGCAGTGCGGAGCAGGAGCGGGCAGAAACAACCTCCGGAGGCAGGGATTTTAGGAAAACAGGCACCAGCACAAGGATGGGATGGGGGAAATCGGGTGCTGGCGTTGGCAGCCCCAGTGCAGTGCCTGCAGCTCACACCAGTGTCTCACACCACGGCTCTCACCGGCTGCTCAGGTGCGATCCCCACCGCAAGGGATTCATCACCGGCAGCGTGACAAAGGGCTCCCGAGGAGCCGGGGGGGCCCGCGCGCTCCCGGTGGATGAATTGCTGCCTTCACAAGGAACGCGCCGGGTGGGAATCACGGCGCCGCAGCCCCCCCTCCACGCAGGGCCCCGGCTCTCCCCGTCCTAAAGCACGCATCGGCTCCGCAGCTCTGACAGCCCATGTAACAATTAGCATCTCTGTCCCTTTACTCTCCGTGCGATGGCTTTACCATCTGCGTATCGCTGTCTGGGCAGCAAAAGGCGTAAGAGAAGCTCTGGTTTTGTGCACGGGAAGCCTTTGGGGAGGGGAAGTGTAAGGCTGCGTTTTAACGCGACGGGGGAAGGTGCTGGAGGAAACCACAAGTGTTAATTTCATTTCACCCCAGATAATGACAAACGTTGCTATTAACGGACCGGTTTATACAGGTGAGAGGCGGCTCCAGACGCTGCCTTCCCCATCGGACTCACTCACAGCATGCATTTGCTGCTACCTGGACGTTCCTTCCCAGATACGGGCTCACAAGCCGGCAAACTTGGGAAAACAGATGTTAAGGAAGATCTCTTTCTATGAGCTCCCTCGGAAGCAAGGCATCCTGCAGGGCTGGTTGGAGTTAT